GGAATAGTGATAAAAAATCAAAACGACCAGTTGGTCCAGTGCGAGATTGGTTTTCTAATTCTTGTTTACCGGTTGTCCTCAGATGATGGTGGTACCCGTATGTACCAGGTCAGCCAAAAGTTGAAATGATTAGCTGCATGGTTTCCTCTATCTGCAACGACTTCCAGTTTTTTCTCACTGCAACCATCAAGCTAAGAACGGGTAGTAGAATAATTCGATTTGTTCTCCCCCAAAGAAACCACTCTCAAAAGTAGAAGTAGCCAGGACAAATAGATTTGATTAGATTAAAAATGTTGGGATTTGAGCTTTGTCTTGTTTTCTGAAAGGAATTAAAAGGCCAAGCCTATCTTTTTTTCACCAATTTCTCTGGGAGGAAGAACAATATTGTGATGATCAGGTATTGGGAGTTGCGGATGGATATGGATAACTGAAGTAAAACTTGCTTCATTCATGTAGCTCTTCACTAGGGTTGACGGTGTCGGACTTTTCAAACAAACCTGAAGAGTATCAGGCAAACAAAAAGTGGAAGCATAGCACGATCAGAGAAATTCTCCTGACATTGATCTTGTACATATGTGAATTTTCATATTTTTTAATTAAAAATATTTTGCATACTGAATTAACTCGAGTTGTAGTTCTGAAGATATGTAGTAAACCGTTCAATTATTTGAAATATGTAAATGCACAGAGAGACAAAAATATTATAAAATTGAGTACAAAATGTTGACTTTGAAAATAAAAATTATTTCGAATATCTGTGCATATAAAATCAAGATTTAAATGTGGTTTCATGTGGTGTACAAGTCGTAACTCAATAAATGGGCGATTAAAAATTCAATGGTTGTCATCACTTTCAGCTAAAGGGGTAAAAGATCTTATTTCCATGATATATGACATTTCTCAGATTTCTGTACTTGATAGCTTACTTTACACACTTGGAATGGCATTTCACTTGACACATCTAAACTCTATCCTTCACTTCCACGTTTGACGTTGCATTGGATCACAAAAGCGTAATAAAAACACAACGAGTTAGTTTATGATCAGAGATAACTATTTTCTCAGTACATCCTACACCACTCACATATCACACACTCTGGTTCTTTTCAATGCGTCAAAAAACGATGCCTGACTTTCGTATGAAAGATTGATAAAAATATTGAAAACCGATCACTCATGTTTTAATGCCCAAACGCGAACAACTGAATAATCTGGAAACGTATGTGCACGTGTTACGGAAAATTGAAACATCAAAATTGAAGTCATGAAGCATACAATTGAATAATTGTACTCTCTCATTCAGAATCTGTAGACTTGTTTCTCGTTTCAAAAATGTATTCTTTTGACTGATTCTCTTTAACTAGAACCAACTTGTAATAGCGCAGTCCATTCTGCTCACACTCCTCACGAATCGTAGCCATACATATTCTTATTCATCAAAGATAAAACAAATCATTTCTTCCGGAATTTGAAGAGCATCAATCCGTCAAGAATTTTAGAATCTGATTTATGGCAGAAAACGTCAAGAGGAAATTTCATATGTATGCTGGCCTAAATTAATTTACGATTAGTGGAGCGTCTATGTATTTTTTTCTGAACTCCATGCAGGCGTATAGTACTAAAGCTGACTGAAAATTTGCAATCTATTTATTTGTAGGTGAAATTAACGTTTTAAAAATTGGCAATGCAAATTTTAAACTTATTACTTATTGTGTCCTCCAAGCATTTATGAACCAAGTGCCATAATATTAGACAACCTTTCTTCCCACCGGTTTGGTGCTGTTTTCTTGGTAGATTTTTTACGGTTTTTTAAAAGCTAGTATGCATATTTATTTCTCCTTCCTTAACTACCTATATTTGAGAAACACGTATGTGCATACATCCTCATGGATGAGCTAGGGACTGAAAATGAAAGATTTAGCATTTGTGCTTATGTAGGAAATGGTATTTATCTTAAACCAATATTTTTTCTGCGTATTGTGCGTGAAATTTATCATGTCTCTTTCTCTCGTATCTACAACCGTTCACTATTAAAAATTAAATATTTGCTCATAAAGTTCAAGTTAAAAGTCAAATCAAGATGCCGGATGAAATAATGTGATGTGGGAATGACTGATGCATATAAGGTTAGTTTTTCGTGCCAAAAAACCTGGGGAACAACATTTCCACTATAATTCATTTGCATCCGACTGCTGCTATTATGTATATGTACATGATCACGTCAAAAAATTTGAAGGTTATCCACTCAAGGCAATGTTTTAATATTAAACTTGAGTTCAATCAATTTTACAGTTGCTTATCCGTGTGTGCTATATAATAAATTGCTTAGATGTGAATACTGAGCATTGAACTAGCGAATGATGAATAATAAGAAAAAATTGAACTATTCCTGCAGATACACTCAAATTCGTGTTATTTGATTCAAAAATACATATCAACTGACAGACATTATTTATTTGGTTAGCTCATACAATACGATAATACGATATGTACGTACGTACGTATGTAGGTATGTGTGCAGTTGTGGTTTACTAAGGGTTGAATGGACCAGAATTTTCCGTGTGCAATATTGAATGCATTCCAATCTTCAAAGTATTTCAAAACAGAAGCATCGAATTACATAATTACGCTGCAGTCGTGATTTCAGTTAGTGATTCTGTCTAGTCGACTTGAGCTTCAGAGTAGCTGAGTAGCCCAATTACCAAAAAATATAAAACATGTAGTCCATATGGACTACATGTGCGTATTTTGAAATTAATTAAATCTGACAAGTTTGGGTCAAGTGGAACGAACCACTTGCTACACTCTGAAGCTTTCTCACACTAATTACTGAAAAGTTGGATGCCCACGCATCCCTCGTCTTAGGATTAGTTCCCATAAATTCAAAATAAAACTTAGTTCGCATAAAAGAATAATATTCTTTGTAGCCCAACCCTAAAACTTTCTTCCATCTGGCTCAAATTAAGATGCAACCCTTAATATTTCATCAGTCATTCACAAACTGTACAACCCATCCTGTCTTCAATTCGTCTCTGTATTTGACCTCTCGAACACATTTCATTAAGAACAGTTTTATGCGTTTCAATGCTTCTTTGTAGATAAGTAGTACCATATCATAGTAGCATAGAGATACTGTTTTATTTGGACAACCGTTTATGTATGTTAATTCCTGAGATTATTCTCAGTAAGTTTGAAGCACGAGGAAGTCATGAAATACAGCCATTTATCTCCGTTTATTACCATTTATTACATTTCTCCGCCTGGTGTTCACGACTCAGGCAGGAGGATAGACAACAGAAAATGAACGACAATTTTTGAAAGACCTGCCTGGTCAGTGTCACTGCATGTGAAATGCAGTGAATAGTGCTTCTTATTTTTTTTAAATTTTGTATTCATGCTCCATCCTCAAGTACAGATCCAAACCATCTCTATGCATGTAATTTTATGCAACGGAAGTTTCATGAGCAAGATGAACAAATTGTTGGACATTAGTAGCCAATCTAAATTTATTATTATTATTATGTAGATGTTATGATGATTACGCTGCGATGATGTGTAGAATTGATAGTATGCCTCCGTCCGATGATGTATAATGAATAGAAAGCCACAATAAACACCGTTGTTACTGGGAAATGAATTTGGATTCAATCAAATCTTGTTTCCACAACACAATTTTGAATCAATAAATGTAGTAGCAGCTGCTGAAACGTGTAATATCAACAGAATTGATTTAATCTAAAATTCAAGCACAAGTAAAGACAATCAATGCATATGTCAGTTTGATTGACTGCGTGATCTCAGTTCTCTCCCACATTTCCACTGCTCGTGGAACAATATTAAATTCTTCTCGTTGTGAGAGGAACAATATGTTGTTGTAACGTTGTAACATGCAAGCAGTGACACCGATACTGTTGCCTCAGTCTGACAGAAAATTGATTAACCAGCAAAATTGAAACAATCAAGGTTCAAATATCCCTGTGCCGGTTATTGTACGTAGTTCACAGTTAACTGCTATTGGGTTGAAAATTAAATGTTGATGAAGGACGACCTAATATGACCTCTCTCAACCACACACGGATTCGACTAAATATTTTAGTATATGCTCACTTGATTTCGAAGAGCATAATTCATAAAGAGCAACCGTATCATATGTGCAATTGTACTTATACTGATATAACCAATCGAAGCGGAAATATCATAAGAGAAAGATTGCTTATTTGATATCGTGCACTAATCAAATAATTGATTTACTCTGGAATCTCAATTAAATCTGGCCCACCCGCATGAAACCAGCAACGAGGAGACACAATTAGGAGCTTGCATATTCTGTTATGTATTATTTACACTTGCAAGTTGAAACGCATGCATGCGCTTTTTGATCAGGAGGTGAGACGCACATGCAAGCAAATAAATGAACTGAATTAAATCATACGGATCCTTTTCTCACCCGTGTAGCGTACGTATGGAAAGTAAATTCTAATTTGTGGCTAAATTACCTGTGTTACCAAATTTCGAATAAAGCAATGGGTGATATTGGTAATTAATATTATACGATGATAGTCATCATCATTTCGTCTGGAGAGAGAGAGAGAGCTTTCATCCTTCATAACAAGCTTGGCTGATGAAAGACTCGTATTCACGGAGAATAAAATCAGTGATTCGAAACATGAACTAATTCATCACTGTCCATATTTACATTTGCATCTCGGCATGTTGAACAATGTGCTTCACTGGCTGTTGAGTTGATAATACGTATTCTGAGTTAATAAATAAATAAAATTATCACAAAATAAATCAAGGAAACAAATCTTCTGCACCAACTACCATATCCGCTTTTAACACATATCCTCACATGTGTCATTTTAGAATTTAACGAACGAACAAAATGACAGAAATTATTTGACAAAAAATATCCTTGATCAGAAATGAGTACTTTAGGATGCCACACAGTCCAAGTGAATCCACAAACAACTTACACTTTTCTTGTCTATTTATTTCAGGGAATATTCACCTTGAGCTCCAATTACTTACACCGTGCAACAGATGGTCGCGCCTACTTTCACCAAGTGGAAATCATTGTGCCACCCAATTGGGATACCGCATCTTGTGGACGATCTCTGCCTGTGGGGGCCTATACGTCTCGCGGAACAATGAACGAAGCGGCCATAAGAATTGGAACGGAACACCCAGTTTTCGGAAGCAAACCATGGACTCAACAGTCGCGTGGGTGTGGGCTAAGCGGTGACTACATTTCCGTCGGGTATCACTACATCCTGCAGGTATTTAATAGCTTTCTTAATTACAAATGGAAATCAATGACAGATTTTATCAGTAGTTCCGAAGTATGCGTCTGTTTATTAATAATTACTGAACGCAACAGCGCAGTTTTTCATTTTGTTCTAATGGAGCTCTGTTTCTCATCGTACAACTCCTTAAAAAAGTGTTACAGTCTTGTGATAAGTATTATAATTTTTTGAATGCAGTTCAATGAGACGGAAAATAGCATCGGAGGCAGCAGCGGCGGAGATACCGATGGAAATGGAAATGACTCTGACAATGGTTATGGGACTAACCGAGGGTACACTTACGGATCCGCTAATGCTGTCAGCCCCACTCCTACAGGTAAAATTGTAGATAAGATAACTATAATGTCCCCATTGGGATCCTTTTTCTCCATCTTCCTCCTCTCCCAATATTGTCAATATAAGAAGCGATCAGGTTTTCAAAGGTTGGTTATGGTTGTGCCAAGTAGAGTGAAAACTCAATGTATGGAATTTGCCCTCGCTTTGTTGTGCTACAAGTTATACAACCACTCCATAAGTTAAGTATCAGTATTCCATGGCGGTTGTTGGCGGCTTACCACTTTCGCCAAACTTGTTTCTCTCACTTTCTTTCTATCATCCGCCTCCCTTCTCCCCATCTTTCAGAAGGAGAGAAGAAGAAGAAAAAACTTTAGTCGACACACTTTTCTCGTGATCCTGGAGGCTACTTTCTTTCGCCCTCCCTTCTCCATTCTCAGTGTTATTTGAGAGGAAAGGAATTGGGTTGTGGATAAAGAGGTTTATTACAGTCGTTAGTTTTGATGATATTTCCGAGCTATTCGAAACCAACGAAACAAGTCAGCTCCCATGCAAGAAGTTTTTACACTTTAGCTTGTTTCGCGTTTCATTGGATTTCTTCACAATTTTCCTTCCTGTCACCTACGGGACCTTGCATATGTGTCAGTCAGTTCCCCAATGCGATGGGGTGACAAATGTGCAAAGACAAATGTGCAAACGACTAATGTGCAAAGACATTTGTGCAAACGATAAATGTGCAACCTGACAAATGTGCAGCCCGATAAATGTGCAAACGATGAATGTGCAACCGATAGATGTGCAGGAATTTTTCCAACAAATAGTGCAATATATCTTGATATAATTTACACTTCAAATCAAATTACATCTTATCAAAAAACTAAGAATTCTGAAACATTAATTTTGTGGTGAAGCTTATGAAGCTGGAGATCTTATAATGCAGATTTTATACTTATTAAATATTACTAATCATCATTATAACGGGGTTGACCCCTGTCAATTTTATAATAAAATTCCCGTGCCGAATCACTGTAATGTTAAATTTAGCTAGTGACAATTAAACTTTAGTTAGGGACACCCCGCGGGGACAGAATTTAAAATAATAGCAAATAAGTAAATCCCGAATTATTTCATTGAAATTTAGAATTTTTATATGTACATAATTCCAGCCTATACGATAGACTAAAATTCACGAGTTCACGAAGATGTATGTACCAGGAAATTTATGCACCATAAAAATATAATTTACTAAAATATTAAGTTAACAATAAATTAATACTGCTCAATATAAGATCCACAGCTTCAACAGACATCATACGGGATGCCACCACAAAATTAATGTTTCAAATTTTAGTTTTTGAGGAGATGTAATTTGATTTTATGTTTAAATTATATCAAGATATATTGCACCATTTGTTGGAAAAATTCCTGCATATTTATCGGTTGCACATTTATCGTTTGCACATTTATCGGGCTGCACATTTGTCAGGTTGCACATTTATCGTTTGCACATTTGTCGTTTGCACATTTGTCTTTGCACATTGGTCGGGCCACCCCCCAATGCTTAGTTGCTTGCTTAGTTAGTTAGTTAGTTAGTTGGCTGGTACATACAGGTTGTGGTTTGCTGCAACCTGTGATTCGGATGGAAAGGAGAGAATTGTGTGCTGGAGCGGAAAAATGTCAACTTGAACATTTATCACCATGATTGATTGAGCATGGTGGGTCTTGAGTGAGCGAGTACTGTAGCGGTGTATGCGTATGTACATACTCGTGTATATGTACATATATATGCGCAATAATAATATTCTCATGGCTATGCCACAATATAAGCCTGTATATAATTGGAGGGACCTTAATTCATAGTTGTGTCGTATTTAGGAATTTGAAATCTGTGCTCATGAGGTTATTTTGGCTTAAATTAGTTGCTCGCTCCTGCTGCTGCTGGTATTAAATGTTTTTCTCATCGAATAGAAAATTGCATGTTGAACGCAAACTCACAAAGGCTTTGTTGAAGGTATAAAATCTCTCTCTCTCATAATTCTACGTGCGCTGTGTGCAATTCTGCTGGCACTTTATTAGGCACTAGCATGTTGATGTTGATGACACGAAACTTCACAAGCATAACACTATACTAATCCGCAGTCAGCCTAAGCATGCCCTTGAGTGATTGAGCTTGTTCTTGGCTACAATGCTGCTTGTCGTACAAAAGGTGCGATTAAATCAGATCTAGTTTGTCACGGACGAATAATTTGTTGCCACATTTGTGAATTTATATAAGCTTGCTTTCTCGTTCTTCTATAAAAAATATGCAACCATATATTTCGCTACTGTTTGTTCTAAGGGACACACACACACACTCATAACAACCAACAGTTTTGCTTTTACATGTTTAAGTGTGATTTCATTTTCCCTAAGATTATTTGTTCAGTTGAACGATCCAAAGATGTAGTACAGATTTTTAGACTATTATTTTGAGTAGTAATACAAGACATCTTATCAAGCAGGCTGGAATAAGAAGAGTTATATATCTCGACAGTCTAAATATATAAAAAAAAGTAGGCTAAAAATGCCCAGCACATGGCATACCAATTATTATTCTAACCACCCAAGCCCAACATTTCTTAAATTAAATGTCAAATTGAATTTTTCGTTCGATTTGAGTCCACTGAGCCATTGCACAAAACAAGCTGAAGGGGATAAATATACTTAACTTGGTTGAGAGAATATCCATGTATATGAATGTAGGGAGACAGACAGAGTTTCAGAAATTCTACTTTTCATGATTGTGTTCTGACGGGAAGTTTCTTTGATGGAAATTCAACCGGACAGAAGCATTCAGCATTTGGTAGAAAATAGAAACACTTCAGAAATCAATTTCTTAACCAAAAATAACTTTTCTCAAGCGTTGACGTGAAAATTTTGAGCATTTATGTTTGTTTGGAAAGGGTTGGTCACATTTTTCAGTCCTCGCCGTATTGTTTTAGAAACTCTTGTGGACATTTCTATCATTACTTTCCCCCTGCGTTTTCGGTGTTTAAAAACAAAGTGAAAACAGTTGATGTTGAGGTCTCCTGTACCGTCAACCGTGTAATTGCTGGGAGTTCCTCACTTTTTGATCAACACATTTCTTACTCCCAAGTTTGATTAATTTACTTCCATGTGTATGTTATGTAAGGCTTATGTTTTGTTTTAAAATTGTTTGCTAAGAATAAAAAATAATTGCAAAATAATAGCAACCTTTCCTTCCACTTACACCCTTAAAGTCAGGTGCTCATAAATAGTACTAAAAAGTCATGTGTGCAAAAAGAAAGAAAGGACATTGTGAAAAGAAGGAATCTCATTTCATGATGTGAAATAGTTATGTTTTTCCTGCTGCCTGCATGTAACACCCTGCGAAAGAGGATCGAATTCTTTAGCTGACTTTTCTATTTTTTCTACAGAGTCCATTTCTGAGCGATTAGATTTGGTCGGCCTCGGTCGATTCGTTCTCAAGAAAGGGAGAAAGGAAGATGGATGAATGGACAGAAAAATAGGAAATGGATGGATATTACATGTAGGATGCTGTTGTTATGTTATTTTTCGATCCGATATCATCCAATGGGTCAGATCAGACGCGGTTATGAAGGGAGAAAATAGATCTTTCTCAGGATTCTTCGTTTCGATATATGTACGGAGACTCTGGCGTTGTAGTTGACCCTCACATTTGATCGGACACTCATACGTTCAAGATTAGTCGTCTCAAAAAAAAAAATTAAATAAATACAATATACACCTACGACATACGTACGCATATGTGTCCAATATGTGTACAAAAGGGACCCCTTCTTTCCTTAGCATCCCTTTACTTCTAATTTCTGATCCCGAATAAACCAGATGCCTTTACTCATTAATCTTTTGTTGATCGTTTTGATGACAGTAACCTATTAATTTAATAATATTTTCCGTTAATAATAATTCAAATGTGTTTTATTCCGGTTGCAGAGCGGACATTTGTGAAGGAATGGGCCAAGTTTCGCTATGGAGTTTTCGAAGAAATTGGCTTCCCGAACGATCCAATCTACCCTACCTCGTATTCCGAAGGAGGAAGCAAAAAACCCACCTCGTGTACAAATTCACCTGTTCGTGGAACGTGGTAAGTATTGCCCGCTACATGTTTGCAGCCTATTAAATGTACGCCAAATTGGTGGTTTTGTAATAACAATTTCCTTGAAAGCGACTACTTGATGTTGCCAAAAGCGCAAAAGTTGTTTGAGTATAGCTCAAAATAATCACGGATAGATGTAGGTACATAAATCCCGAAAGTCCGCGTCTCACAACCTCAACGCCACCCGTCATCGACTCATTATAAAAGATAATGTGGCAGAACGGCCTTTTTCTAATTTTATTGTTAAGTCGTCACCCAGCAGATTGTTGTTGGCCTGGGCAGACTGGAGGAGGCTGCATTATCGTTCCGCTCAAATTGCTTCTCTAAAGAAGTTTGGCTCAAACTCGGCCTCAAATGAGTGTACGTACACAGCGCGTTTAAATAAAAGTTACTTTTCCATTCCATTCGGCTTCATGTTCTTAAACAATGATCATACCCCCCATCATGAGTTCCTTTGTGAAATTCTTAAGAAAAGGCACAATTTCACTCTGATTTTTCTCCTCTTTTGTGTACCTAAGTGTAACTTTGGTGTAGTTGGAAAAGCATGCAGACCAGCGTTGTTGTTCTCATGTTGTTTGTTAACCTGGCTGGAGAATGATACTCGGTCCTTCCAATTCAACCTATTTCCTCTCCCATATAACTCTTGTAGTAATTTCTACCTCAAACGAATCTCAGGAAAGGTCGGTCGGATGGAACTTTGTAATCACACGAGCATAATGACGACGAAACGGTGTAATGGAGGTATATTAAAGAGTGTTGTTTGCCCAAAGTTGGTGCCTGTCCTTCATGTTGTTTCTTTGAACTGATGTTGTTCTCACTTGTAACCCATCACTTGTTACCCTTATTCCTGCTTCCGACTTTACGACTTGCATCTTGTCCGTTGGTTTTACGTACCTAATGGACGGTGAAATGAAAAAATATTATTGCCAAGCTATGTTACCGGTATAGGAAAAGTGGCACCTTGCCCTAGTCCCACTCACCGGATATACAGACCGACCTGTAAATGAATGGACTAGAAGACCAGATTTGCCACCTCCTCTTCCTCTCTAAACTTGTTATTGGTACATAATAAGGTGAATCTAGCTTCAAGACGTACACATGCACGTCGTTACCTCGTTCCTAAATATCGAGTAAAAGTGAGGTTCCCACAGTGGAAAGGGCGACTTTTGTGACTGTCGCTTGCTCCTAACAAAAAGCCTGATGACAGATTAGCAGGTGACAATGGGAAGGATCAGCAATTGACAGGTTTATTGTTATTATTTCTGCTCGGAATTACCGGCTCCCAAGAGATGTACTCTTTCACATAATGGAAATATTCATCTTAAACTTTGCACAATGGAAAGAGAAGTTTAGAGCTTGACTTAAGCCTACTTAACACAGTTCATAATTAGAGGTTTAATATATTAAAAGTTGTAATTTGAATGTTAAGAAGTCTGTAATCCACTCAGGTGACTTGATCGCCTTAGTGGTGGATTAATGGTTTTACAGTCTACTTCATAAAACCAGATTATAGTTTTACAATTGCTCTTCTATACAAAAGCCTTTCTCTTTTTATTTTTGCTTGCATCCAATTTCGCCATAGTTTAAGGATGAATAGGTGATAATAATGTTTGAAACTAAAAACTTTTCTCATTTCACTTCCACTATTACAAATACTTAAGCACTGAGTTGCAACTTGTGAGAATAGTTGTCACACAGCTAGACATCCATAAAGCCAAATAAATCGGACTTGAACGGAAACGATAAAATTACTTTTGTTCGAATTGGGAGAAATAAATTACAGAGAAGAAGCAAATATATTTGTTAACCGTTACGAAAAACATGGCAAAGTGACAGTTGTTTTGTTTCATTACAAATATGATCCTTATTTTTTTGTATTTCTCGCATTTAATAAAAGTTGTACCGTTTGCTTGATTATTTCCACCCTCGCCATGGGGCGACACAACCTTATGTCATCCGAATAATGTGTGTGCCAAGTAGTCTTGAAAGTGTACAAAATTACAGATTTTTCTCCAAATGCCACCGTTTAGGTCCACCAGTATATTTAGCATCTCGTCATCCACTGGGCATAAGTTCAGGGAACAATCATCTACCTAAATCAGACCCCACAATCATACATAAAGCACAATAGTTTTCGACGAATCTGGAACAACAATGCCGATGTAAAAAGGACGTGGAGGGCGAATAAATATATTTCCTATTGTGGAGGAAAGCTTTCTCTCCATTATTTATGCTCAATCGTCCGCTTCCCATAATAATAATGAAATGAAATATGTATGAAATTGTAAATGGTACGGAGGGTGGTCAACGAATCGAAAATATCAATTGAGCACCGAGATGGATTTATTTTATTATGTTCATTCATCTCACACATCGAATTTAAGACCAACTATCTGCAGTATAAATAAGTGTATAAGATGTCCTAGAACCAAAACTGGATACATGCACATATTGCAAAACTTGTCCTTCTTCCTCTGTTATAAAAGTGGCAAATAGTTCGTGAACTATTTGCATACTTTTCGAGTTAATGCAACTTACACGAACGTAAAAATAGTGCAGCTACTATTGGCAAGAGAGATGTGTAGGTTGCACATGTAAGCGCAGCAGCATTGTATTGAAAGATATTTATTATATGATGAACTCCCCATTTAAAAAATATATCAGGCACACTGTTGAAAATTCAATTTAAATTATTATGCCATCCTATGTGGAATAGTGGATATTATTCAGATCACATGTTATATTAATGGCATCAGCCTTCACATCTGTTCGGGAAATATTATCATGAAATTCCTTTGTTGTGTGCATATCAATTCTTCATATCATTTTGGATAAATCGAATTTTGTTCACGTCTGCGAATATTTTCTTCCTAATAAAGTATTCGAGTGCGAACCAGGGTTTTTATCCAGCTTTCTGAGCATGATAATAATAAGTCGGCCAGGCTAAGGTCAACGAGAATTTTGAATATTATACATATGCCAGACAATCTCGGGTATTATTCATCCAAATGACTTTCCGTTTCCATTTTTTACGTAAAGTACCATTTTCCTTCTGGAATTGCTAAAAGTGACACGAAGTACATTTTCACCATGATCTAGGCAATATTCAATTGTAATTTCTATTTTTAACACAATGTCTTTAAAAAATTGCACAAAATTGAATAAAATATTTATTTAATAGCGTTATTAAAAGATTTCCAAAGTTATTAACTAGTAAAAATGATGGAATGGCTCCAGTAATATCGTACCAAGAAATTCGAAACGTTAGGTATCGAGTATTGGAAACGTAGGTATTGGTCGTTATCTTATTACTTGATTCCAGGCGTATGTAGTCGTCCAGCATGCAGATGCCGTAAAACTATCAGATTTCCAATTCTGGTAACTGCATCGTCATTTCCCAAACTCAAGATCCACATTGCCACTTTTTGTCCGCGTTGATGCCTCACATACATATTTTGTATTAGAGGATTACCAAAAGCGATATACATGTTTGTTACCAACAGCGTTCAATCACCACGAAGGGTCGGATTAAGTTACCAAAACTGTGCGGCCACGTCTGCCCTCAGATTGTTTGAACCTGGTTCCAGAAACTCGTATCGAATTTGAGATTGAAAAAGTTTCTAATTTCTCAAAAACATCAAACGAAAATAAAGCATATGTATGGATGAGCTCCTTTCTATTTCTTGTCTTTAGGAGGATAAAAGAGATTTGAGATAGAATGGTTTCAAGATTTTTGAAAATATGGAATATTTTTCATCTTCAACGATTCAATAGTTTGTATGTTTTCCATACAAGTTTTATAAGACGATCTAATTTTGGCTTGTACATGTCTACAACCAAGATTGGTTAGACATGCATGAAACTGAAATAACCTGCCTGTATATATGTACATACGTACCTGTGTACACATATACTTGAGTGAATAAAGGCAAACAACCTTTTGTGCAATGATGCCCTATGATGAAGCCCTTTACTGATGAGAGAAAACAGATTTTTGTGTAATTTATCATGGAGCGCTACTGCATTGTGTCTTGCACAAATAACGACGAGGTCACAGAGATGTTCGAAGTAGGGTTAGAAACTTTTGTCTGAGTGTTGGATGCATTCTAAAACTTGTGCATGCGGATTATGGTGGATGCAGGTTGTCTGATTTAATCGAAAACGAATCTCAAGAAAGAAACTACTGTGTATTCCCAAACAGTTGATTGCGTCCCACCATAACGACCTCAACGATGCAATGGATCTTGGCGTTTATTGCAATGATGTCCCAGTGTGTGCGAGGATGTAATGGAGGATAATTTGGATAATAATTGTCTATCTATTTTTGCTTTTATTAGGTCTCCTGGGTGCGATACATCTTCCTGGAATGAGAACGGAACTTGCATCTTTATACCGACCGTCTCATCCGCGTCCCACGAGAATAATGATCGGATCGTCTCATCCATCATGAGTTTCCCTGGTTTGAAAAACGTCCACATGTTCTGTGATCAGAATACACACAATTCTAAGGCACCCACGAAGCAGAACTTTTTGTGCGAGGGCAAATCCATATCCGAAATCATCAACGCTCACCCGGATTTTAAGAACATGCCGACATCTCGGTAGGTCATCTTTTTTGTAATTATATGATACTCCATAAAGCTATTATAGCTTGCTTTAACTACATTTTTTACATGCTGTAAATTTTGCCTGTTTGTTGAAGTCAATATTAATTATATTCTAATCAATATTATTATCCGCTCATATGTATATGTATACAAATCCTTTGCATTTCGCTTTGCTTTATACCCTTATCTGCTTATTCACACTTTAAGAATTTTAATGCACGTCTTCAAAAGTTATATAAATACTGATGATGATGATACCACCCATCGTCAAGTGTCAGAGTTTATGTATATAATATCCGATCATATATCAGCCACTTGTGCATGCATACATATTTGCACTCAGAAAAGTTTATGGTGACATGAGTTAGTTACTTGCTCTTAAGCTATGCGTAATATACAACAGTAAATCTTTGAGAACTTGTTTACTTGTTTCAAGATTAGATTAATTTGCTTGATAATGTTCATCAACAAGAATTTATGTGATTTGAATAAATGTCAAATTTATCAAAACTCGATTCAGCGCTGACTGTATAATTTTGCTCTGGGTTGACATCATAGATTGCGTTACGAATGACAATTTGCTTACGGCTGAATAACAAAATACTCAAAATTTAAATACTCGAATGAATTACCAACAGGTTTGGCAATTAAGCAGTAATTGCTCACACTGATATTTATACCGTTGGCTTTTTTCACATTAAATAAACATTAAGAAAATTGCAAGCCTTATGAAAACCCGCACGGCATGTTGCGTTGGCCCAAAGTCAGTGACTTTTTTAAAAGACAAACCTTTTTCTTTTGTCTCAAGTGAAAATCAATTGGACATGGGAATCAAATGACGAAGGTTTTAGAGGAAAAAAGTTAACAAGGATGGAAATAAGGGTGATATTTTACGTTGGGTCTTTATACGTTTATTTACGAACCACTTGCTGTAGTTAGTTAGTTTCACCTAAAGTCTACAGTCATCCTGGAAAGGTGGTAGTGGCTTTCATGGTGTAGAACAATTCCCCCTTTCTCAATAAATAATCACAGCAATTAAGCACTTAACTAGTTCAATCACACTACACTACATATTTCCAACGAGCCCATAATACAGCTAAGTAGCTCTCTCATAACATGCATCTTAAAGCATTTGAACGATACCACTATAATTTTAAATCCTGAATGAACTGTGTGGAAGTTACACCAAGAAAATGTCTGAATTGTTTTCATGTCGTTAAAGAAACTTTAGTACCAATCCAACCCTGCATTAACACGATATTACAATTTGATGTGCTTGATATGAGGAGCAAGAGGTCTACATACACATTTAAATGTCGAATACGACTATCCGAAAGAAATCGTAATGCCAGACTTCCTATTTGATTTGATTACCCGTATAATTAATTGCTCCAGAACGGAAACAGTAAATACTGATTTAAATAAATGGCCAACATTATCATCATTGTTTGCCGTGAGCGAAAAGATAAATTGTCAAGATTTATTCCTTAATTTGTGTGAATTTTTTTAAAGATTGAAATCTAAAATCTATCGAATGACTATTTATGTAATGAACTCTAAAGCTGTTGAAGTTTTGGGTTTGGATATTTTTTGGCTACAAGTACATACTTAATAGTTACTACTGTGTACCGAAAGCTTGATAAATGTTCAATTTTCAAGATGGTTAAAGGCACAAAGTTTACACAGGGAATTGCATAGTAGGATTTTGTGGAATTCTACAGTTTAGGCAAAAAAATATCTGGGCAAGATTTGTGCTTGTTAACTTATCATCAGTTAATTCCAACGCAATGAGGGACAAACATATTGCATCCTCGCTAATGAAACCAGTAGCTCCATAATGTGAGTAACGATATGATATCTGCTAACGAAGGTAAATTATGGTCGGAGGTCTCAAAGCTTCTTGAACATAATCTTTAGGTTTGGGTTTACAATAACTCACCAGGTTTTTGGACAAGACGAGAATGCTTTCGTTTGGGAAAACACAGTCAAAATAAGCATTAGGGTTTGATGATTTGACTTTGCTTTGGGGGTGAATTAAAAGAGCAGCAATTCAAAGCAGCCATATTACTGTGCTGGACATTATTGTCATTCCATTCCATCCCTTGACGTCGTCGTCTCATTCCAATTTGCAGGATAATGAGCGAACAGAAGAGATGAGATTTGTCTGACACTTTAGTAAACCACTACTGTTTCGGCATGGACGTGGATTGGAATTTTGAGCTAGTCTAGCTGCTTATATCCGTATATACGACACGACCTCATTCGGAGAGGGGGAGACAGGCTGGAGTGTGAGGGTGATAAGATAAGGGAGTTGGTTTTCACATTGGCGAGGAAATTAGTCCAGCTAATGGTGAGGAAGGAAGGAGATCACAATGTGAAAAGTCCAATTGTGCTCTATCTCCAGTGTTACGCGACAAACGTGAAGATATTTATGCTCCCCATACAACTTGATGGGTGACGCATATGACATGATTATGAGAACGATTTTCATAAATGATATGTATATTCATTCATTACGCTCTTGGAATTATGCTGCTGTGTGGGAGTAGTTCCCACTAATAAAGTTAGTTAACCTACCTCAATTAATTCCCAACAGGCGAGTTAGAATATCGGAATATGTATTATAGAATCAGTAGCAAAATATTACGTTAATAAAAATATCGTTGATATTCTAAATCTGACATGTGAATAAAAAATATGAGCAAAAATCGGCTGTAAATTTTTTATTAAAATCATAAAAAATAAACCTGATAAAGTTTGTTAATTAACGAACAAGTGTCGTATAATAAATGGGTATTCGAACTAATGAGATGAGGGAAAGGTCGAGGGGGAAACAATTAGTGTGAAATTACTTTGGCATCACACACCTACTATAATGACAAAATGTCTGAAGTTCATTCAGAAAATAATATGTATATAATCTTAAGTAATATTACGTGTATAAACTCGCGACTTATTGTGAGTGCATATTTCAACTGCTAGTTTCAACAAGGAAATTCATACTGGGAATGAATTAGCAATGGTCTGATAATCATAATTGTATTTAAAAGGTTTGGTGCCGTCTGTACGACTGCATAGACCAAAGACTAATACATACGTAAGTAGAATAAAATAGGAGTTTCTGTGACATGGAATGACTCATATTTGCAAGTACAAATTATTGCTAATTCATTCCATCAACAATTTCAAAAGTGTCCCGATAGGGAGGCTGAGTTCAATGTCTCATCATCGTATTTACTTATTTAGGTTCGCTCATATCGCACAACACAATTTAATGCTTTTACGTTCAACGGGAACAATTGATACCATTATCGGATACATAAGTACACTACTTAATTAAACACGGATGAAACAAAGACGAATTGAATGTGAAATAATAGATCCCGATTCAATGACCTGAAAACTATCACACACACACACGTACGACACGACGCGAAAATGTTTTCGGATATTGTGGGCTTACTCTCTGACAAAATGTATGGCAAAAGTTAACCACTCCGAGATTTCGAAGTTCGTAATTTTCTCATACCTAGTTGTGAATCACCGCTCGTACATATTTGAGCATGGTCTCACAGCGAATAGAAGCAACTTCTGGTGTGCAATGCAAATAAGTACAATACAATATTGTTGAAATAATAAATATAAAACTCGACATTACGTCTACATTTTCCTTATGCTAGGCAGTTTTGCATTTTATGTACAACAAATTTTGGACAAGTGCAGCAGGAACGAGTGTTGACTGACTGACTGAGCTCATACACAACGACACACTTTAAATAATTACACTGACTTGGGGTCTGGGTAGCTGGTAAGTAGTGGTAAGTGCTAATTTGGGAGATATTTGTATTCTCTTAATGGGAATTCGTCCTAACTGTTGGGCAGAATTGTTAGGAGAACCAAACAGCTTATGAGCACGATGTAAATGCGCTTCTCCCTCCGAAATAGAAAGAAGCACTTGAAGCATTGTTGCCTCAGAGCCGAGTCGAGTGTGAATGGCTCATCGTTTACGGAATGGACCATCTTTCCACCATTTGAAAGCAAATTTGCATTTACTTAAAGTTTATTTGTATTAAAGGATGTTGACTCCAGAATTTTTAGAGACGCTTAATTGCGAGGAAACGCACGGAATAATTGACCAAGTGCTTACTCATCATAACTTATGTGCTAAGCAGTAAAATGTTTCAAGTCTAATTCCGTAATCAATTCAGCACATCCGCATTTTCCATCTCAGTTACTCATGCAGAAAGTGTTCTATGCAATCTACAATAGGATATGTACATAACTGTTGTTTAACATAAATTATAATTTCAACTCGGCTGTTAATTGCTCGTTCTCATTCATAACAAAATAAGAGTGAAATCATAAGGAATTTTAGTCCATTCTAAATATGGAATACGTGATATAAATTTTTTCCATATTATTGTAAAATTATGAAAAGTGTCAAAATTTGCATTTTTGTTGCGGGTTATGATATCCCAAATCGTGAAAATATTATGAATATCAACCCATGTATGCGTAATTCTGAGTGTAGCTACCAATACCTACGAATTTTTAGCAGGAAGAAAACTAATTATGAATAAAAAAAAATATGCAAATAATATTACTCATTTTCGTTTTATGATGGTCGGTTGGTACAAAAAAATAGTATTACAAATGCCCTTTCTTCAGGGGTTTTGATTCTCATTGCATTGCTTTGGGGACTTGTCCTTGCTTCATTTTTCATCCTCTAAGTCTTTCTGATGTCAAATGTCAACGAGGTTTTCCAAAAAGAAGCCTCGGTTTAACCACAAGTCAGCATTTTTAGCTTCTGAATTTCACCCGCTTTAATGTAATGCATTGCTTGAGATCACACCCCTCATACCCAGAGGACGGATGAAAGCAAAAGGTTTATCACTTTTGTTCCATATATATTTTCTTTATCGCCCTCAGCCGTTTACTTGGATCATACGGCAGCGCTGGAACGAGCCTTATATTTATTGTTAACATCTTTTATTCTTCTTACAGAGAGCCGAACGTGCCAGGGCCGCCGCAATTCATTGTCAAGCAAATAACAACGCCCAGATTTGTTTTGTTGGTGGAAGAGACCGGAAACATGAACCTACGGGTAATTTGTCGTCTAACTTTCATCTAAACCCCCTCGCTAACTATAAATATATGTCATACGCTGTGTGTGTAAAAAACGTAGGTATATAGACGCATGTCCAACTCTTATATTACGCAATACTAAATTGTTTGGTCACACTGTGTCACTGTCACTAGGCCAAATCTTGTATTGGATATGCATGTATTGGAAGTCAAAATGCTAGTGGAGTCGTAAAAAATGGTCACTGGATGGCAAATTGTAGGTTTTTCTTTGGGTTGCACATTGTGAGCCAAGACTAATGATCGCTGCTTCTTCTTCTTGCATAGAAAGGAAGTTGCAATAGTTAGGCAGTCGGGAAGAAGTGAATTAAATATTCAATCTGGGTCTTCTGCCAAGCCAACCGACCCATTATTGCTTTAGTCAGATCAAAATTTAATAGTGTAGCCGTATATGGAAAATAATATGAATGTGAAAGATGGTTGATGAGGGTGATGTAGAGAATCAGAATTTTACATCTATTGAATATCCCCTCACACGTATGTACATTACGTCTTTTTATCAATTGCCGTTTATTACGGAGTCTCGGCATGGTTTTTTAAGATTCAAACCTCGTACAACTCTGCGGAAGGAGCAGAAGGAGGATGAGAGATGAATAAAGCAATTATTTTTTCAATGTACTTTTCATAAAGCTAATGTGGCAGTATTTTACGCATCGATAAATTTGGAATGCGAGGTTTTCCATTCATCGATGATTCTAATCAATGAATTGAACAAGACCAGAATCATTTGAGATTTAATAATGTAATTTCAAAAGTTGTATTTATTAATTCAAGTTGTGAATATGAATTCCCGTCATCTTTTGCGCTGTTTATGTACATATGTATAATATGCTAACTTATAAACCATGAGGTTGCAATAATTTACATCCTTCTTTCAATTTCAATCTAGTTTACTCCCGTTTTAATGAACTAATTTGTAGAACATTTACATAAATTGTGTGTGCCCTTGTTTTGTAACAGTCAACAATTGAAATTTTGTTACAATGCAGCAATATGAATTTCCTATCTTCTGGCATGATGTATGTACACACAATAAGAAAAGCATAAAAGCTTCCACAATTCATTAAATTGAACCGGCATGAGTACATATTTAAATGGCATGAGTGAATAATTTTGATGTATGTGCGTATGGGTACCAATTATTAAAATGCATCATATTTTATCAAACCCATTATCACAGTCCAATAAACAGCTTTGTGAATAATATTCAAAGCAGTTTTAGCAGAATTTAAGATGCAACTGGCAGGCAAATGTCTCTTTCTTTTCGATACAGCCACTCTGTGCTATGATAAAGGTAATAAAATGAGAAGGTTGATTGTTCGTGGTTTTCACCTGAGATGAGGATGAAAAAAAGTTGTATTTTGATAAAGGTACTCTGTTGCTCGGTTCTCAGCAACACTGCATCAAAATTGGAATAATAAGCACGTTAGGAATTATAGTGGCAACCAATAGGCTGGAGTAGCAGCAAAGAAAATTCAATTGATGTGTTGCTGCTCTTGTAATAATATTTTGGAGTAAGGCTTCATGTTTGCACCTAATTTAAACCTTGATCAGATTGAGATTTAGGACAGGGGACGCATTCATTGCAGTCTATAATGAAAGCATAATGAAATGGAATCATTTTGAAATTGATTTCTTGAGATTTCGGCCCAGATTTCTCCGAAAGATGTTTTAGTGCCAAAATTGAAATTAATTTCTCTTAATTAAGTGAACATTCATCAGTAGACAGGAAATTGAATGAAAGCGAATTGAAGGGTGAAATGATGATGATTGAAAATCGTGTTTATAATTATTTGTATTTGCACATTTAGGATACCTGGAAGTTTCTTAAGCTCGCCGTGAGAAAGTTCATCAAGTATGATTTGCCAAGTGGTAAGTATCTCAAGTCACTGCTGATCTGGTGGTAACAAGTGTCTTTATTTTATTTTTTTTATTTCAAGGAACTCAAATTGGACTCATTAGTGTCAGGTTAGTAATATTTTTTGTAAAACAATATGGGCGTTGTGTGGTAAAATTAGGTATTCAAGATTACATAAGCCAAATTATCATGATTAATTAGTACCAGCGATGTCAAAGTGCTCTCCAACATGACCTCCCTGCTGACCATCAATCTTCGCCGGGCGTTGGCGGATAAGTTACCGAACTACCCAAATATCGATTCTGGCGGAAGCATTTCTCTTAGACGAGGCATTTTCCATGCTGTTGAGGTAATTAAGCGTGTTAATTTATTCACATATGTACGTATACTTTCAACTAACAATTAGATTTGTAAAAATATACGGTATAATTTGTATCTAAAAAAAATTATAATAATTCACATAATTGAAAGACTTGTTTAATGATGTATACATTAACGTCGTGGTTTCATAGTACAATTCCCCATTTTATTATTCTCCTTTGTATCTACAATGTGTATAGTTTTTTATTTCTTTGTTGGTATCCTTCCAGTCAAACAAAATGTCACGTGCATGGTAATAAACTCATCTTGAGTACTAGATTGACTGACAATTGAAGATCACTACATTTATCTCCTAATTTATTATTCGGAATAACAATACCAAATTCTGAAGCCTCTTCTTTCTATGTAAATATGCATTCGAAGTTAGATGTAAGAGGACGATATAAAATGAGTGATTGGAGTCTATTATAACAGTGGCGTTGATGTACGTAGCTCGATATCGAAATCCTTTGGCAGATGAATGTTTGATTAATTTGATGAAGGAGTTTATGAAAACTAAGATTTCAGTTTATTTTGATTAGCTCGAATATTCTAAACGCGAAGAAATGTCATACGTTCAATGAGAATATTCCTCAATGTAAATAAATAAATTTGAAAAAGATCCTGATGACGAGGTAGCCACTGAAGGGTCTTCTCGTTCATGTGGGTTTGTTGGAAATATTGTGGGGACGCTAATTCGGATACCACAGTAAAATTCTCAGGTCACGGTTTTGCAAAAATTGTATTTTTAAAACAATTTCTACTCATTCCTCTGGTTCCTCTTTGGACGCCCATGTTCAAACCTCAAATTTAATAGCCTTTCTGCCATGCCATTACTCCGCTCTGTGGTTTGGAGAAGGTCGTTTTTAATAATTTTGAACAATAAAAAAGCATCATGTACCCACAGAGTTGGATCCATTATGTAAACAGTTAAAATGAGCAAACAATCATCCACAAAATAGACGAAACCACAAGAAGGGCACGACTAGGAAAGAAATGAGCCAAGTTCAATTTCTCAAGTAGAATTACAAGTGAGTAAGCGGAGACCCAAACCATGAAAAACGATGAGATCAAGCAAACTCGGGAGGAAGATGGGGACGACGAGCGAGAAGAACGGGTCTATAAAACAAAATGATCATCGATACTCAAACCCAATCGTGATGGGTCGCTGGTACTTTGACTTTGGTTTGGCTCCTGTAGTTCACATGATGTAGGAAGTATGTGGTTCGTCATAAAATGATCTTAAAAACAGACAATATTTTGTGTGTGTGTGCGGGTACTCGGAACTTCAATCCCGTGTGTCGTTGTGTGTAACCGTAAGTCTTGTAACCTCAGGCAATCTTGCAGTCGGTAGCCTGGGAGCAAGTTTGATTCGATAGTTTATTTATTTGTTGATTCTCAAACTGGAAGAAAATGAGATGGGATGAAGACACGGTCGGTCTGTTGGTGCACTACTCACTCACTATCTCCGTAGAAGTTGTATCACAACAACATTTGGATGGAATTCATGCTTTCGGAAAGGTATTTCATTTCATGGGGAATCATCAGGAAACCAGAATTCCATTAAAGTCTCCCCTAGTCCAAACAAAGATCAAAATGTCGGCGATGTCGACATCAATTTCGATTGTTTCCCAATAGCAGCGGTGCATTGCATGTGATGGGGTGGTAAATGCCAGACCAAGTCAGACTAAACCGAAAAGCCAAGTTTCTTTTCCAGCAGTGGAACATCTATGTACTTGTTCTCTTAAAGGGCACACGGTAGCACACGCAATCATCCAACCGTCTCTGACAATGGGACGATCCTCATCTCGTATTTCTAATACCAACCAAAACAGCCAGCCAGCCACCCTCTCTCCTTCTGATTTGTCCCTTCGTCTTCTTGGGTTCCGTTTAGTGTCATCATGCATGTCACTTGATGTCAACTCGCATCTTGTATAAGCCACATTTTTTCCGTCTCGATGAGAGGATCTAGTTGAATTTTTGGTAGTTCCGTGGAGAGTATGGTTCTTGATTCCCCTTATTAGCAACGAGGGGGAGAAAATTGATTAAGGGAAAAAAGTCAATGTCATACCGATGCCAATGAAATGACGGCGACATATTTCTTGCCAGATGAAGAAACATGATTTGCGGGTTGAACTGATGCACCCATACCTGAACTTGTTCTTTCCTTTCTTGTTTAGTTATCTCTCCTATCGACGCGCATTTAGTCACTGAATGTCAACTTGTAATAAAAGTTGGGGACAAAGTAGTTGCCCACTTTTGCACAAAGTCTGATGTGGTAATTGCACCCAGTCACGACCGACTATGTAATTGCAATTAATTGTTGGTACAAGTTTTTCAATTCTCTAAATTCCATGTCCTTCTAACAAATTAAAAGGTATACAAGTTTTGTGTGTATTGTATGACAAGATTAATACGTACATGATACAAATACTCGGGTATTTATCCTGCTTATTTATTGATAGAAAATCTGTAATTGTACAGATAAATGGAGGTAAGTACGTAGCAGAGTGAGCTCTACGTTTTGAAACGCGTGAGGGAGCGTGGAACTGGGATGGAGAAAGTAGTGCAAAAGTGGGGATGATCTTGATTAGAATCCGTGTGTGGTTGATGGGTGATTAGTAAATGACAAGGAATAAGGATTTCATCCACCTCTTTCTGTTACAGATGCTCAAGCAGCAACGGGCGGCTGCGGCTGGATCTGTGATTATCCTCGGTGAGTATTTATTTATTAGTTACTTGAGGGTGTTTGGGTGGTGCAAAAGACTGGTACTGTCCTTACTATTTGCAGTGAGCCAAGGGACCGTATCCACACCCGATCTTGAAGTTTCTCTTGATCTACTTAGGAAGGAGGAGGTTACTCTGGCCGCCATCGAGTATCCATCACTGGGTGAGTCCAACTAAGGTCTAAATGGCATCATCAATTTATGGGATCTCCGTCCTGTGGTTTCAGCTTCCCCGAGAAACCAAAAAAACAAATCTCACTTTCTTCTTCTGATCCGTGTCATACGATTCCCTCAGTCGCTTTGTGGCATTATCCACCTCTCTCACTTTCTCACTCTTGTTCCGTCTTCTTACTTCCTATGCCTACTTCCCATGCTTTCTCTGAAACACATTTATAAAGGACAGAGACAACTTCGCATCACGTATTTCCAATAAATTATTTCCCTCTGTGACTTCTGCCATTTAACTCCATTGACAAAATGCAACAGGAAATTACTTAAAAAATATTTCTACTATTTTGATCACTACTAATTATTTGTCATTGCAAGATACATTTAAGTGTAGTCAGGCTCAATCCCTAAAAGTGAAAAATAAACCTGGGTCGTGTTTTTGAATCGTTACGCAATCCGTGTTGACAATTAAGTCTAATTACAGTCACTACTTACATAAGTCAATCCACAATCATTAATTATTGAGGCTGTTTTCCGGTTGAATATTTAAGGGTTGATTATACTTTCAGAAAGTAAAATCATAAGCGCAACCCTCCAAGTAAAATGTGCTATATGTCATATACTACACTAGTATTTACTGAAGTTAAGTATGTAAACCACAAATGTGGGTACGACTTTTAGATTTCCTGCTTTGATATTTGTCGAAATTTTAGACTTCCAGATCAGATAGCTCACCAACGCATTTACGTCCAATGTACATATCTACATAGGTATTAATACTTAGAAATAATTCACGAGATTCTTATTTTTCATGCTTTCACAATTTTGGCTGGCCTTGACTCCTTTTTGCTGCACCATTATATGCCGTTATGCAACAGTGTAGATGTCATGGACGAAGCGTTGCCATTTATACTTGAGGTCCAGTCAAGCTCGACCCTTGGCAGTCCAGGCAAGCATACAGACATACATATGTACACACATAGTTGGTTGGTTGGTGTGGTTGGGGATGTCTTGGCTGGCTGACTACCAGGAAAAGAGATCAGCAGGGCTAAGTTTAGTGTCTTAGTTTTCAAGATTTATTGGTAGTAACTCGACAAGTCAAGACGTATGGTGCACTAATCCTAAGAGGTAAAAAATCGGCATGTGAGTCAGATCCCATATCAGTCTTGGGGTTTGGAATATTCTGCTTCGCAATTTTCCTTGTGCCCATTCATTCCGAATGGATTTCTCCAATTGGCATCTTTTCTGCTAAATACATGCTTTGGCAAAAGTTTTACGCGTACCTATACACAGGTGATGTATTGTGTTTTCCTGATTTGAGAAGGGATACATGGAAGATGAATCGCTGTTGTCTCACTTTTCCTGCAGTGTACTATGTATAGCAAATTCAAAATCACAGGCAGTCTTTAATTATTGCTCCTTATTACACAATAAATGCGTTGTATTCGATGCACAATTCACATAGAAATATATAGATTCATGCACAAAGACATACAAGTGTATAGTGCAAATTCTGCAATAGTGTACACTGTACACAACATCTATGTATGTAGGTTGCAAATTGTGGTGAAAGTTTTATGGTTCAGCGAATAGAAAATGGGCCACACATGCGGTAAACATAATTCCCGTGTGAAGTAAGATTCTGCCGTAATCCTATCATATTAGAATGAGATTGGAGACTTAGCAATAGTAGAACACACGAAGGAAGGTGGGCAAAAGAATTTGGGAATTTCATTCAGCATTGTTGCCACTACCCTCGACCCCATCCCTCTTTGAAAAAATAAAAAAATAAATGTGCAAACTTTTGCAAATATTTCACTGAAACACGAAGTAAAATGTTACTTTTCCATCTTAGCCGGATCCAATTCATGCTTTCTTTTCCTCATTTCTGAGCTAGCAGAATATTGATAGCGAAACAAAGGAAAGCGATCCAACAACGAGCAACATACGTACGTTTCCTGGAACAGATACCTAAGATAGCTTTCTTTGTATTACATTGCACCCAATTTTATTGCCGAAAATCCAAAGTTTGCTTATTGTCACACGACTACAACGACCTCAAATTCTCCAGCACAGCACCAATTCATGCGATATTTCTGCCAACAAAAAGCCAAAGGATCGTTTAGCTAGATCTGTAGTAAATGTGCTATGCTCGTATATGTTTAAATATATATTTATTTCCTTGTATGCCAGCACATTCCACGCACTCTGACTTAAAGAAAATGTCTTTTCATTTCTGGAGTGAAAGTTCATGGGATCAATCCAGTTAGGTTAGTTTTGGTCCAGGCGGAAATAAGCTGTCTCATGTACGTTGTACATTCATATAACGAACGGTCGGTTGGTCGGTCGGCTGGTCATCCAAACTTGTTTCTGCTATAACGACATTTTGCTTTCTTACCATATTTACTACTTACACGAGCAATAGCTCATGATGTTACTTCTATACGCTCAGCAGGCCAATGCGTATACCATTCGGATATAAAACACATAGATTATAAAATATATCTGACATATATAAATACGTTAGTCCTGGTTTGTTACCTATGTACTGCTGTTCCTGTTCCATGGGCTGCAGAAAATCAGATCAAACCTCGGTATAGATATCAGACATTTCCATTCTCTGCCTTTTGAATCCAGATCAACCTATTTTTCCATGCTTCAATTTATTTTTTTCTCATCACATCTTTCCCCGTCGACGACATTTTCTATTAAGAAATTGAACAAACTGGATTTTGGAACTGGGTCGCTTGTGTTATTCCATAAAGGAGCAGGAAGTGGAGAGTTATATGCTATTTTGTGCATGAATTGCGTATCGAGATTGCATTATGTCTGAACTGCTTGTGATGCTGGTCGTCCAAGTAGTTTAGTGGACTTTGGAGAAAATGAAAGCACAAAATGGGATTGGAGTTGTTTGGTCTCACAGCCTAGTATGTATGTGTTGGAGAGAGTGAAACGGCGGAGGGAGGATGGATGAGTTACTACACAACGATACAAAGATTCAATTATGCGATATATTTTATCTTGCAGGAGATGGGAAAATTTCCGTGCTGGCAGAAGGGACTAATGGGCCCAATTTTGTCGTCCGAGAGTCGGGAGTGGGCCCCACAACGCATATGTCGACATTTATTCAGCTTATAAATGCTCTTATGAGCATTCAACGGTATTTTACTGAAGACCTGGCCTCGTCCTGGCCTGTAATGGTGAGTTATTGTTCTACTTTTACCCTAAAATGTATTGTATTTAAGCTTCTCAAACGTGATAGCCTGGATGTACGAACGTGTCAAATCATTTTTCAACCTGAGAAATCTGTGTGGTTCAACTATAACTACCTACTTTGTAGTCTTATTAATGAAGGTGGGAAAACAGGAGAATCAGGAAAAATGCATTGTTTAATAGTAAAATTGATGTACCATATTATAACTCGTATGGTTGTTTCCATCGGTCTCGGTAGCACTTGTTCGTACGTATAAATCGTTCAAAACTATATACAGCCTTCGTCATCGTCCAATGTTAAGAGGAGACGTAAAGAAAGCAGCAAAAAATATAGTGAATCTGTAATAATGCTCAATAGATTTATTATTCGCAATAGCAAAACAACACAATTTCCGCCAATATCATTCCGCAGATTGATGAGGTGATTATATGGATGAAATGAGTACAAATTTATTGTAATGCCCGTTTTCTCGGCCTATTTTCTTTGCCAAAAAGAGTATCAAATTGTTAATGTCATTCATACATTAATCACTTTTTAAACGCACATTTTAAGCCATTGTATATAAAAGAAATATTGTACGCAAAGAAGAAAGAAAAAATATCATTTTCCGCTTTCGACTCAGTCAGCTACAACAATTGCAAGTTTTTGTTACAAGAGTTTTGGTTTTGGAGTCTTCTTCAGGTTTGTCGGTCAGTTAGGCAAAACTGTCCAAGCAATCTACTTTTGGAGAACTAGTAAGGTGTCGGTGAATCATTATTGTTCGTGATTTTTGCTGGCAGAAAAAAGAAAAGAAATTATTTACATGTGTATTGTTGTAAAGTGTAAATTGCTATAAATTTCGTCGTAAAAATGCCACGAAAGAAAAGTAAAGTTGTGCTTTTTGTTAAAAACTGTAGGTTGTAAAACACCCAACTTTTTGCCTTAGACAAGAAGAACCCACCACTACGCGTTCATTCAATATATCATTCTGGCGTGTTTCATTGTTCAGCAAAAGTGAGTTCCTGTCCACGTCGGCACAAATAATTTGCACTTTGCACGATCTTCAGCAGTTTACCAAGATGAAGAATAAGGGTTGATTGCTGATTGCTTGTGAAATATAAAAGATCGTGTTAATTTTGACGCTTTTCTACAACTGACATAACTTTTGGCCATGATTGTTGCTATATTTTGAAACGATCGTACCAACAGCTAATCAACAAATTTTATACTTTTCATCTTTGCAAAATGAGTTAATAAGTTTTATAGAGTTGTCAATTTAATGTTAATTGCCTACACTGGCTGGCACTTTATGCGCTATGCTATAAAACAGAAAGAATTAAGAAGCTTGGCTTTTGTCATTAATTTAAAAATCGAAGCCACAAAACATACTTCGAAAATCAAAATATGCATACATTTTTTGACCTACCAATAAACGCCTGTGACGAACCACTTTACCGATTTTGACCAATTGGGTCTTAAAATGAATACCATGGTTAGGATAAGTGTAAGAATTGATGATGATTACGAATATTACGTCAGGTGTATGGAAAATTGTATCGAGAAAATGTTGAATTTTTTGCAACACAATTTAGTTGGGTCAGTAGAAATACCTGCAAACTAGGACTCCTATATGCACCCTGACTCGGGCTAAATAGGTCTGCACTACCATAGGTTTTTATAATGGCGTCAAAATAATGAAGTTTGTGCGGAAAATAAATTCATAATCTTCTTTGCTCTTTGTCCAAATCTTGTGAATTTCAAAATTAAGAGCAAAAGGAACTTGCCCATTGTCAATTGTGTTGAGCATTGTTTGTTTATATTTCATGCTTCTTCTCTTTGCCACTCGAACACAATAAAAAAGTTTGGGTTGCTTCGGATCACGAACTTTGCATAAAACAAAGCGTGGAAAAAGAGAGCAGGGCTAAAATTTGGCGAACCGAAAATTAACTGCATTTGTAGCGGCCTCGGCATTTGAGATCAAAAGGATGGAGGACTTATATACATGTGCATACATACCTATGCGTTTACCTGGTAGTAATAATGTTCAAGTCGCACGGGTTCAATTCAACCACAAAATATTTGTTTGATTTTACTTGAACTTCAATTTTCTGCTATGGAATATGTGCAGCAGGTTTGGGATAAATCTGCTGTTTATAATAATTATATGATAATTGGCTCCTCTTTTATTAAATAAAACAACAAAAAGAGGATTGCATACTGCGGACTGTTTCCTAAATTTACAATCCTACTTATGTCGCCCTTCTCTGAATTTCAACTACGAGCGAGCACGCATTGTAATTGAACAAATTGAATTGAAGTTACATTAAAGTGAAACACGAGGAGGAGATGCGAGCCAAATGAAATGGTGAAAATTTGGGTGTTTTCCATTTTCCACATCTCGGCGGCTATGAATGAATGTGTGTTGTGTGGCGTTGTTGGGTTCGGTTGGGTAATAATTATTCCCGATTTGAATAAAAGGATTTATCTCTTTCATTTATTTGTTGTTTGTTGTCACCCGTCTGATCTCCACACGAGTGGTGTGGAAATGGATGGAAGCATTGATAGAATAGTATAGTTCTGTGGATGGAAGCATTGAAATCGTCGGTAGAAAGAGGAAAGCATTACTCAGAAACTTTACATGCGAACCATTCCTCTCGCAATCCAATTTCGCAGTTTAATTTTGTGTTTTTCTCCTAATGTACGCAAATGGGGATTTATGATGGTTGAGTGGTTCCTTCCTCTTCTGACCAGACTTTGATTACTGCGACCAACCCCAACACTACTGCTGCTCACACTTCAGTTGGTAGTGTTAAAGGCAGATTTATTCCAGCACGAGTTTATATTCATGGCTTTCGTGCTGCTAACTGCGACTACAACCAAGTACAACTCAAATCTAACCCAAATTTGAACAATGATGATTATGACCATTAAGTAAGGACGAAATGAAATTGATGCAAATGTACTAAACTTATCCAATCCTATTACTTTTGTACTTCGAGGATACGTTAACAAGAGACTTGTTTCCAACGATTGATCATGATCACTACAGCATTTTGAGTATACGAATTATACGAATATACACGTACGTACATCCAGTGAAAGCCAATAACTCACCAAATTTGTGAGTTACCATTCTGACAAGTGTGATGATTACTACATGCATTCTTACTTGTTTGTTGCAGATTCATCAAGCTGGTAAGTTGGGTTTTCTGGTGCAACATATTGGTTTGAAGGATGAGAGGTATACATACGCACACAAATGAGCATTTGCTGTGAACCCAATACAAAATATTCGGGTAAACTAAAAAAATAATGAATGGACACGAATCGGCGTAGGAATTATTTATTATGTAGTCCATTAAATTATGAACTACAAACAAATTGATTCGAGAATCATTTAATGGAGTGTCGAGGCTTTGTTAATTGTCGTCTTCGGAATTATTATCCTCTCACCTTTAAACCATTATGTTGTAGCTACCCTGTTGATGTATGTGTGTACAAGCTACTAATTATAAATTATGAATGTAACAGAGTATAAAGGGGACTCGAGATCATACGTGGAAGCCAATTTCAGCTTCGAGTCGGCCGTTTCGCAAAGCCCAGCAGAGTTTTTCATCTACACGTCGAACCCAAACGACCCGGTAAACCATCTTTAGGACATTTTACCTAAAAGTTACATGCTTATTCCTACCTTCAACCGTACTTCCTCCCCTCCCACAAAATCATAGTTGCAGTAAAACATTTTATACAGGAAACATTTAACAATTACTGAATTTGCAGAAAATCAACAGCGTGGAGTTGACGAGTCCGAGTGGGCTGTCGTACACTACCCAGTTGTCAGATCTGCACGATATCAACGTTATCAAAATAGATGCTTTGATCAACGAAGTATGTGATCTGATTTACGGGTATTTTTGCTTTTGCTTTGCCATTTTATTCACTCTTGTCGTCCTCGTACATTTTTACACTACGTGCCAGGATTGATTTGGCTTTGGAGGTGATCCTTCGTCTGTTTAAGCACTTTCAGTCAGGTCTCCTCGGTCTCCTTTCATCTTTCTCACGCCATTTTCTCCACTTTGCGAAACCTTGATCCTCTGCTTCCACACACGACCAACTAAGTGAGTGTTCTCCTTATTTTGCTTACACAAGATCCCTTGATACTCGAACCTTTATGTGTGAGTGAGACTAGCACAAATCTGACAAATTACACAGTGAAATTAAATTGATTGGATACATGACTCCGTTCGAGACGACTGATTTTTTTTGGCGTAGATGTGATGTAAATACCGATTTCTGAAGTATGAAACCATTTTGAAGTGCATATATTTATATGGCTATGCTGATTGACAACTAAATATGTACTATCAGCGTTACAACGGTAGATTAGCTATTGCAAATTAGTTTGTAGTTCACATTTGAACTTTATTCCCAGAGTTTGTTATATCACAGTGAACCAGTCTCAAGCGAGAACAGATCGTGGTCCAAGAGTTTACGTTTGCAGAATTGTGTGTGTGACAGCAAGAACGATGCAATCGGGTGTTGACTCTCAGAACCACTTAACAACTTAATGGAGAAATCAGATCCGACACATTTGAAATTCCTTCGGGCATTAAGACGCGTCTCTACAGCAATTCATTGAGGGAAAGAGAGCGAGAAACATTTTTCGCACACATTGTACATCATTCATTCACCTCGCTCTTACGTATCTACTTATGTAGCCTGTCACTGCAGTTCTCTTTCTCCATTTGTTATTAGCCCATTCTCCGTACTACGTGTAGTATACACACGAATAATTCCTTCCGCTTTGATTCGCACACTTATAGTGCAAAAATGTCCCACTTTTCATTTTATGTAATTCTTAAAGGACACACTTTTACACATGAGAAATCCCATCACATTCAACTAGAGATTTGTAGTCCAATATAACTTTAGATTTAAAGATAAAATATAACCAAATCCATTCAGCGAGTTGTGTGAGGAGATGAGTCTTTTCATATCTCGTATTTACATGTGTAGGTGATGAGAATATGAGTATGAATATCATGCCTAATGGAAACCGATAGTTTCACAGTGATAAATCGAGGGTCACCTCACATCAAGTAAAGGACTATGTAGCCCTTACTTCACAAATCAGTTTATATAACACTGATTTGTGAAGTAGAGAGTGCAAACGACATGTTGAGTTCAAAATTCCGCCAACACCAAAATCGGATAGAATGATGTTTTCGGTGCTTTTGTGAATATCTGATTAAGGCGGAACACCTATGTGCATACATATACTACATACATACATACATCAAAGAATAGCAAACGTGTTTCCTCTATGCTGTCTCTCTCTCTTCATGCCATTCCGATTCTGGACACTTTGTTATTAGCGCTGACAATAATTCACTTTTGACATTATAAATAACCAAACATGAAGAAATCTGCTGTGTGTGCTTTTCTCCTCAGAATATCAAGCTTTTTATTGACGCTTTCAGGCTGGGCTTAAATAACCGAGAGAGCATGTTTGTTGGCGAGAAAGTGGACATAAGCTTTGGTAATAAGCAAACTACGACATCCTGTTCCGAGAGACTTGTCATTTATCATGACTGAATGAGGAAGGAGTTGTGAAATCTCGCATGATGATGACTGCAGAAAAAACATCTCCATCATCATCTTGCATTCGTCTATGCGTATGCAAAGTCGTGGACTTTTTTGAATTTTTGCTTGCATGCCTGGAGCTAAAAATATTTGCGTTTTTCCAATTGGAACAGCGGCCTGAAAATAAATAACTAATGCACTATTTTAAATATGTAGCGTGGTGTTTGGAGGTACCGAATCGAACGATTAGCTGACAGCCACCAAAGCCATTATTGTCAAGGTATGAATTTTCCTCTAAGCTAACTAAGCGTATTTTAAATTTTATAAATGTGTTTGAAATCATTCAATTTTCACATAAGATTAAACTCTATTTTATCTTTGGAATCAAATAAATATTCGCACGCATACAAGTTATGAATCTTTGTAGAGAAAATATGAAACGGTTTCTAAACTTTCTCCGCGTTATTTATAATTATGAAAAATGTGTAATATAAAAAATATATTAATGAAGGCGAAAAAGACGTAAAAATATAATTTAATATTGAATGTTTTGCTTAATTTATTCTACAGTCGTGACAAGAACTTCCTCGGAAGACTTGAGTGTGCGACTTTATACGAATGTGGAGCTGGACAAAGTTGCAAATTTGAGTGCTATCCCTTTAGCCCTTTTTGTTGAGGTAAGTTTATCCCCCCTAATGCTAACTTATGCAATCACTTAAAATTTTTGTGTACACGAGTAGGAACGCATTTATATACCTAATCAACCACTGAATATGGGCGACCTTTGAACCCTTCAAAATATTTTGTTCTTTTTACTGTCGCCACTGATCAACTGAAAACTACTGAACGAAATTGATGCGATGTTTAAATGACAATATGTGTTCAACGGATTAAAGGCCGTGACGGGATATGTGCTAATATGATCAATTCTAGCGGCACTTAAGCCTTGTTTCTCCCAATTTTACACGAGCCATAGATTAAAATTCAATTACTGGTAATGCTTCTGACAATAGTTTTCACAGTTTGTAAATAACCCTTTAAATCAAAAAGACCCATGGATTACTACGACCTGTTTAGCAAACTGTTCTAAACAGCTAAACGTATCACTCAATCTCTCGATTCTAAATTGCGGATGCATAGCTACAAATAAATTCTTGTATACTACCTAAGTTTAGGCAACTTTTTTTCCAAACCTCATAACCCACATGAAGAGGTTATAACATAATTCACATAATATTTTGCAACATAACTTAAATACGCTGCAAAATATTGCCTTAAAAATTCGTAATAGTAAATAACTTATTATTTTGGCATTAAAAAATACGTTGCACTAAAACTGCAAACGAATATGCATAGTTTATATTACTGAAAGTGCAAAAACTTTTGGAACTAGTGCGGAATAATGAATAAATGCAGTACAGATGTAGGTTAAGTTTTTGAATTGATGGATTTGTGTTTTGATTTGGTTGCAGGTGAAACACAAGAAGATCTCACCAGTGATTGATGCTGACGTCGAAGCAACCATTGTGGCAGGAAACAAGAAGTGGACCGTAAAGCTCTTGGACAATGGAAACGGTGGTGAGTATACTTTTTAAGCAGTTCCTTTCTTATTTTCCTCTCTAATAATACATAAAAGTCCATCCAGCACTATAAAGCCCAACTTCTACACCTCATCAATCTTTCTCAGCGTACGAATCTATGCAGATTGTGAGCTGTAAAGCAATTTTGCTATAAAATCATTTTAGGGTGTACATTGCCCATATGCTTAAAATACATTGCGTTGAGGTTATTTTACTCGGAAATCCAGTACTTGGGATTATGGAATAATTATATAAACATGTGAAATACGCACATCTATAGAGAACCTTAATATTTTTTTATTATCACTGATTTTAAAAGCATAGAGATAGTTATAGTTTAAAGTTGTATGCGTGGCGTGTTATACGTAGTATATTTTAGGTGCTTTTACTATTTTGTCCCCCAGTGGCATTCGGACAGCTACTGATGAAAAATGAGAGGAGCAACTTGACCTTTCAGATCCACTCATCATAATATACACTCAAGTCAAGCATAAAAAGGAACACGAAGCTTACAAATAAATTCCTAATTTTTATACATGTCTTTTTAGCTGAGTTTTCTCGTTATCCTTACATTTCACAATGTGTGCATCTATTATCTGTTTAAAGTGTAATTGTATTGTTCTTATTCTGATTGGTTTCTATTCCAGATCCTGATTTGACTGGCGGAGATGGTGTCTACTCTCGATATTTTATTATCCCCTCTGGTGGGGTTTTTGGTACGTTCTTTTTGTGTGCTTAGCATTTGTTTTTAACTTGAAATACACGTTCGTTTGGGAATATCTAAGTTTGACCTTAGTAGCTTCGATTCCTAATCGATTCCTTCTTTTCTGATCTTTCGTTCGTTCCTGTATTCGTATTACCGATTAAATTGTTATTTTATTTTTCTAACGTAGGGACCCAGTTGGAGATTTTTGCTCGAGTTATTGTGAACCCATATCGAGCCAGGTACATTACAGTCAGTCAGCCACCTGCCTCTTCGACGGGAGGTCGACGTCTAAACGCAGGAGAAAATTATGATCAACCGTGTTGTGGATCTCGACTTGTCCCACCCAACCCCAAACAACAGTACGAGATTGTGACGTTTGCGGAAAGAACTACCAACACACTAATGCTCAGATTTAGTGACAACCCGGTCCCGGGTTTTTACACCCCCGGCCGAATTGGTGATCTAAGAATTGCAAACCTTCATCTTGCAAGCAAGAACTTGACATTGACATGGACTGCCCCAGGGGAAGATTTAGATCAAGGAGTCCCAGCTTCGTAAGTAGTTCCAGATTCTCAAATCATGTTTCAAATTAAATGTATCAAATAGATAGAATGCTAAATAATATTGTGCTCATACTCGATGCCCGCAACACGACCCACAAATAAAAATAATTTACTTATTTTTCAGTTATCAAATATTCTACTCGGTGGATGACAAGAATGGTGAAAACTGGTCAATGCTGTCCGAGTTCAAGGCTGACCTGGAAGCTGGAGTGGAGGACAACGCCACTGTCACCATGCCCAACTATGGATCATTCTTGGTAGCTATTCGAGCCATAGACTTTTACTTGAGGTAACTTGAAACGTTCATACAATAACACGTCATATAATAGATAAAAATCAGATATCAGGGAAGATCTGTTTTGTCATGACTAAAAGGCCTTAGCCTCAGACTCAAAGTGCTTGATGTAATTAAAGCCACTATTTATATTTGGTGTTATTTGATTTTTTAGATCTGGAAAAATGTCAAACATTGTCAAAGTCGTGGTGTCGCAACCACCAAAAGAACCCCAACATTCTTTTTCTTCAGCCGGTATTGGGTCTGGTGGTGGAAATACGCTATCAATTAAGAATACGACACCATCTCCAACGGGGGAATTCAGCAAGTTTGACTTGATGTTAATAGTAATTTGTGGAGTTGCGTTTGTCCTCTTACTCGCTGGAATGATCGTGATCCTATTATACTGCCGAAGAGTGGGCACTTCCCAGAGAAAGTCGAGCAAGAATCCTGGAGATACAAAGATTGCAGCCATAACTGATCCGAAAAGCCCAATTCACTGGTAAAAATAAAATTTGATATGTTTTCTTTCGAGGCGACACGGTATATGGGTCGAGTGAAACATTATTTTCCTTCCTTTAATGCCATAGGTCTGCATCAGAACTTTTAGGAGAGCATGAGAAGCGTCACAGTCTATACGGAGGTAGGTCTGCCTTGTCGTCATCATTGTAATGATGGCATCATTTATTTTACAAAATTAATAATACATAGATCCTATAGAACATTAGTTATAACTATAACCCACGAGTAAAATAAAATAAATCACAGGAAGCGTCTCCCCAAAAAGTGAGCAAAACCTGAAAAATCATGAAATGCAATTGAGTCACAATCAAATAAATCAACACCACATCCCCAATGGGCATCCCCCACATCACGGTCACAATGGTCATCCACCCATGCACTTGAACATCATGCCAAGGTATTCACATAATTAAATCAAATTATATGTATGTTTGACTCAGTTCTGCTAATTCTTCGTCGGCTAATGTACATATTTTGTGTAATACTTACAATGTTATTGTTTTTCTTTCTGCCGCAGTGAATATGGGGGTACGAATAGTTCGACTCGAAGCAGAAGTTCCCCAGACTCATACGACGATCCTGATAGCCCCACGCCAATACCAGTATCTGTGAGGCATATATCTGCCCGTCCTGGTGCCAACAACTCGAATGACTACACCATTTGCGTAGATAACTCGAGTAGAAATAACGATGGGAACAGTGATGGTAGTGGGAGGAACAGCGGGAGCTATGGGTACCCCCACCACCATCATTTGCAATATCCTCATCACCAACACTATCAAATTCCCATCGCGGTGGGTGGGATGAGCAGTCACCCCAGATTTCCTCCCAACACCGCACCTTCACCACTCCCACCTCTCCCCCAAAGCGCATCGTCACACTTGATGCACTATGACCCTGACGTGCAAGGATCAATGAGCTCAGTGAATAGCAAGAAGCGAAACATAACCATGGTCTAGTTAGCTATTCGATAGTATGTAATGTACATACATGAAGCGAAGGAGCGTGGAAAAATCAGCTTATACACAAAATATACTACACATACATATATGTAACGTAAAGTAACTTAACTATTTATCCTAACATAACGCATAAGTACGTACACATTTAGAGACCACGTAATGTCCACTCCAATCCAGTAGGATTAGCTAAATTCCCCTTTCTCCCACTTTCTCCGTCTCAATTTATGCGTCTGTTGTAAACTGCGAGATAGGAGGCTCGTTCTCACCATGTTTGCCCAATATTTCATCCCCAACTCTAATCCCACAAAGTCTCGTAATAACGCCAACTCTTGGCCAAATGCCCGCATTTGATTTAACAAGACTCCTTGTCCAGCCAGAATGACCACCAAGTCAAGTGGCTACCACTACTGCTGGACATTGGCTGTCAGACCTTCGTTGCTCAATGTTTGTAGTGCGTGACAATGAAAGTAATACCATTTTTTTTATTCCTCTACCGGCTCTACCCCTGATTAAAAACATGTTTAGAGTGAAAAGTCAGATTTTTTTCATTTTAGCATCTGACACAGTCAACCTAATACATACAACAGTGATTTATAAAGATTTATTATTTATTGATTAAATGCAGTCGATACGCACGTAGATATTTAGCTCATCTAGTGTTCATTTTTTCATATTTCGAACCTAATTAAATAAGTTGCATGCCCAATTTTTTAAAATGTTATTTTATATTGTTGCAAAACCTAGTCAGTTTGGGATATATAATACAAATTCATATATTTTATAAATACGGTTATAATGACAATGAAAATAACAATTGCCGTATTAGATACACGATATATGTAAATGTATAGCTAGCTAGCTGTGTATAAAAATTTACTACTACTGCTTATTATTGCAAAATCTTCTATTGCATGTATATACACTTTTAGAACAAAAATTAACATTTTATATTTGATCAGCCATTGATCAAAGGATAATAAAACAACATACATATGTTAACCTTATTATTCCAGTCAATTTCTCAAAAATTAACTTGTAAGTACTCAAGTGGCGAAATGCTTACGTACTTGTACTAAATATTTGCGAAATCTGACAAAGGGTCATTTTTCTTACGAATACGTGCAAGTAATATTTTTATGCGACTTTCCCATCTCTTTGATCTCCTTTTCATTAGTATATACATACTTACACTGATAAGAATTATTGTCCTTCCTCATGCAGTGATCTGTTTGTATTGCCGAAAATCTATTTCTAATTTATAACAAGTACGTAATGTGTGTAATAATAATTATATTAATACATATAATAGTGCTCTAAGAGTTTAATTAATTTTGGTTCATTTTGTACGTAAGAAATTTGAAATGTATAAATGTATTGAGTGATTATTACTATAAAATAAATTCATATGATAAATTATTGAAAGTTTTACTCTATCGTGTTTTATATACTTTACATAAGTACCATAAGTTGCATTGAAGAATTTTAGTTTTAAATTTTCAGAAAGCTACTTTGGGGATATCCAAAAATAGGTAGAACTATACGCAATGCTGGTTTTGGACAAAATAACTTTTTCATTTTACATATTTTTCCTCAAAAGTATGCACCTCTTTGACTGCTGTGAGTACTCGACTCGTCCCCCCAGCGCACAGCAAGGGGATGTTGCTGGGGTCTTTTTACATCACCTTCACCTTAGAGTAAATGTTAATTGACGTTAGTATCTAAGTGACGCGGTCCCTTATGAATAAGTTAGTCCAGCAATAACAACAATTCAACAGTGTTACTTGGTATTTGCTCCTGGGTTTTTGGTGTACAGTTTGTGTCCGTTACTCGACTTAATCCCCAAGCAAGCCCCCAAAAAGTGCGAAAACTAAAAAACCTTGCAATTGGCAACACCTCTTGGTTCACATACACTAATTTGTATCTAATTCGAAAGTACATATTCATCACTAAAGTCTCATGCTATGAAATTGAAGTTCCCAATTCCAATCCTGCTTTTTAAAAGTTGGCCATGGACATCGGACCTCAAACTACTAGGGTTCATGGACATAGTACGTAAGACAATTACAAAAAAAGTGTAAAACGGAGAATACAAAATTAGATTTACTTATTCCCCATTTACTTAATAGGGTGCATCGTTAGTGGCCTTCTTGGTATATATTCTACTTCATTTGCTTCCGACTGCTGTATCTCGCGAATACTTTACAGCGGCCTCCTCGGCCTTGGTCCCAACATTTGGTGTGGGGTCTTTTGACGTTACAATTTCTGTCTTATAAATTAAAAGGGTTTATCAAAAATTAAGCTGCGCCTTTTAAACTTTATAGATACTGGAATGGCGTTCATTGAAATCAGTTTCTTGATTTATGCCGCGACATCTGGTATCTGCGTCTTAATTTCACTTAAGGTAACACCAGAAGCCTTATTAGGATACTTTTAAATTATGGATAAATGTAATCTTTGCGAATTTTGTCTTCCAGAAAAATATGTTTGATTTGAAAATGTGTATGACTGTAATCATAAGCGAAGTGGTTGGAGTGTGTTTTCATATTACTGGAGTACTGATGATATCCAGTTGGAACACGGTTTTAACACTTGAAATTTGGAGACTATCTTCCATCGACCCCAAAACCAACGTCATCATCCTCCAACCCCAACCTGTATTGACCGCTCCCAATCTCGTCCTGACGTTTCTCTTCCTATTCACTTACAAGGCCTACTGGTGTTACCTAATCGTGTACATCCATGCAATAAGCACTGATAGTGTGTATCAAAATAGTCATCAAAACCCAGACTTACCCAAGCCAACAGGCACATTTCCCAGCAGGTAAGAGTATTTCTACATATGCAACATCCCCTCATTTACTTACGGTACTATCCTAATCCATCAATAGTGCAATGACGATGAGTACGACCACCGTCGACGAAGGCCATGCCCACAAACACCATCACAAGAGTCACAAAACCGAGGAAGATGATCCGCCGGATGGTCAGCACCAACATAAGCATAAAAAGAAGCACAGTCTTGACGCTGAGGAGTTATTCAATGATGAGTTCAGCGTCGTTGAAGAACCAAAGCGGAAACATCATCATCATTCAGACGATCCTCCGACACTTGATGACAATGAGTCGAAACAAGATCACCAGTCGAGTCACGGTCATCACAAACATGCAGGAAAATCTGGACATCATAAAAAACACAAATCAACATCGGAGGGAAAGCACAAGAAAAAACATTGACCAAGAACTTTTATTCACAATAATACTTATTAGTACGTTTGGTTAGCATTTCCCATTTTGCGAACTATTATAACTCTACGACTTGTTGTATGACTTTGCATGTATGTAATTTAGTTGTTTACTAATCCAGGCAGTGTATTAAAATATTCGTTCATCAATGTAATATAATCAATGTTGAAATACTGCAGATGAAATCTAGCAGTGGCCGAATTTAAGTAATTATACTACTGCATTACCATAAATTATGCGTTTATGTAACTCGACGGGTTAGATAGAATCATAGCTCGCAATGGACCATGGTCCACTGGACCAAAGTGGTCCATCATGGACCATGGACCACAAAAAAATTGGTCCATCGATGGACCATGGACCATGGGCCATTTTTTAGGTGGTCCATCGATGGACCATGGACCATTTTTCAAGTGGTCCATCGATGGACCATGGACCAATTTATTGGGAGCTATGGTCTCAACTGTAGGTTTCTCAAATTATGGACGTGTTTCTGGAGCCATTTCACTTGAGCCACAGCCACTTCACTCTGCCGAGACGGAATCGAAAGCCAGTGTTTCTCTCCGCAGATGGCGACCCTGTGATTCACTGATGTGCTCCAACTTTGAATACTCGGCAAAACTTCGTCATCATCATTTTTCAATCAGCTTTAGCAGCAAGTGGAAATACTATTTATTTTACGTGGATATTTGTCTGGGATGGGAATATAATATTACTCAGCGATATTTAATTACTCTCCTATATATTGGCTTGAAACCTCAAGAAATTTACCGCACTACTAAACGAAGCATGATTGACTAGTACTAGTTTCAAACTCGCTATTACTACTAGTGTTTAAAGTAAAACATAAATTGGGTGTTGAACAAATACGTCAGAAAAGTGCCATCAAACAAAATTGAAAATCAACAGACAAGACTAGTATAAAAGTACAAATCTACTGTGCACTACTGATAATTTTACTCACATTTTAATTTTATGTCCAATCATTTATACATGGTCCTTAATTCATGTAGTTGGACTAAGAATCATTACGCAAATTGATATTTGGCGTACTATACAAGAAAGGAAGTAGGAGACCATTGTTTAAACGGGCAGTTTTTACTAGACGTCTATCCTCTTATCATTGACTTGAGCAAGTAGTTGGTTGGCAGAATGGCAGACTCTACGGGAGCAGGATCATCCGATGGAAATGGTAATATGATGAAGATAACTGTGAAAACGCCAAAGGAGCAGCACACGATTGAAATTTCCTCAACTGCTACTGTTCAGGAGGTTAGTTGCTAATTTATATTTTCAAATATTTCATACATATCACGGCATAATATTCACGTGTTCAAAACAAACAAACAATAACTTATTTCGTAATTAAATTAATTTCAACTTATATCTAGTTTCGCGTACGAGTGGCAGAACAATTTAATCAGCCACCAGAACTGCTTTGTTTGATCTTTTCTGGAAAGATAATGAAAGATGAAGAGTCTCTGGTGCAACATAAATTGTCGGATGGATTTGTTGTCCATTTGTAAGTAATTTCATTTCCTTGCTTCGAATTCCCCAAAGTATGCCAATTATTCGTTCATGACGAAATAGAAATATTTAATATTACGTCACAGGTTTTTGTGACGTGAAGTTTTTTGTATCCTGTGCCTGTATTGAACGTTGCAACAATTTATTACCTATGGTTTACAGGGTTATCAAGTCGGCAGCTTCTCGAAGCTCTCAACAAGAACCATCTCAATCCAATGTAAGTTCAAGCGGAACAACTTCTTCGTCCGCAACTCAAAATACTACTCAAAGTGGGGGAGGATTTGGGTTAGGAGGGAATGTACCCAATAACCCATCCAATCCATTTGCGGCGTTTGGTATTCCGGACCTATTGGGGGGTGGAGGTGGAGGTGGAGGAGGACTTGGCCAAATGCAGCAAGAACTAATGTCGAATCCCGAAATGATGCAACAGTTGATGGATAGTCCATTTGTTCAAGGAATCATGAATAACCCGGATATCATTCGAAGCATGCTAAACGCAAACCCATCTATTCAACAGTTGCTGGAGGTAAGTACTTTAGTAAATAATTCATCCGAGATTATCATTGTTACGGTTCGCTAATTGACGCCTTTACGTGCTGAATAATAGCGAAACCCTGAGCTCAACCATGTTCTCAATAATCCTGAAGTTCTTCGGCAGAGTATCAACCTAGCCCGTAATCCAGCAGCCTTCCAAGAACTAATGAGAACTCAAGATCGAGCACTGTCAAATCTGGAAAGCCTCCCGGTTAGTGTGTATTTTAAGATTTATTTGTCACATCAGCACAATTCAAACGATTCAGGTGCTCAAAATTAGTCAAAATAGTGCGTCAGGGGTCTCTGAGCTCTTATACAAGTATAATAATATATTAATTATGCACACATAGGGAGGCTATAATGCTTTGCAAAGAATGTATCGTGATATCCAAGAGCCAATGATGTCTGCAGTGCAGGATAGGTAGTTGTTATTTTATAATTATTATGAGTTATAGTTATAATTAAACTTAATATGGTGATGTTTTGGTACTACATAAAGGCTGGTTGGCAATCCATTTGCCGCTTTGGTACAAAATGGCGGTCAGAATCAAGGGAATCCACAGCAGGGAGTCGAGAACAGGTAATTTATTTAAATGCCAAAGGGTGTACATCATATTTTAGTTACTGCTGGACTCATAGTTTACTACGTATGTATTAACAGAGAGCCTCTTCCCAACCCATGGGCACCAGCATCAGCAAATAATAATGCATCCGCAGCAAATAGGCCAACAAGCACGACATCTCCAGGTCCAATTAACACAACCGGTCAAAATGCAAATGGATCAGGTGGAGGGCCGGCGCCAACTGGAATGACTGGTCTAATGCAGCAGATGATGCAAAATATGGGTGGTATGCAGAATCTTTTGAACACCCCGTACACACAGAATTTGTTGGAAAGTCTTCTTGGGAATCCAGATCTGGCTCATCAAATGATGAGTGCAAACCCATTGTTCGCTAATAACCCACAAATGCAAGGTTGGATTAATTTGTATTTTTAAAGACTAATTTATTTATTTGGAATCGGCTTATTATGTTTTCTCTCTTCAACGTTGCATTTTTCGATTAATAATTGAAAGTGTGCATATTTATAATCCCACAGAGCAATTGAGGACAATGACGCCAACCCTTCTGAGTCAACTTAGAGATCCTGAATTCCAACAAGTCTTGTCAAATCCAGCAGCTTTGCAAGCTATTATGCAAATTCAGCAGGTCTTTCTCACTCCATTTCCACAAAATATGAATTATTATATTATTATATTCAATAATTAGTCAATTTTTAATATTTAATCTTAACAGGGGATTGAACAATTGCGAGCTGCTGCTCCTGGTTTTGCAGACAGGTAACAACACAACAATTATATTGATAATACGCAAACAGCACAATTATTATTCTAACTTCTAACAATTGAAATGTTAATTAAAGACTTGGCTTTGGTGGTATGATGGGACCATTGATACCGCCTGCTGCTGCTGCCGCCGCCGCCGTCACCACAACAGCGACTCGTCCTCCTCCAGCTCCAACTCCTGGTGAATCCACGACCGTTTCTTCTACAACGCCATCCACTCCTGGCCCGGAAACAAATCCACCTGTCGGAGGCGCACCTAATCCCTTTACTGGCCTTGCAGGACTCAGGTAACTAAAACACACTCGTTGGAATGTAATTACTAATATTATCCAATCAAAACACGACCTTTATCCAACTTGATCATAAAGAATCGCTGGATTATGCTCATTGCACTCATATTAAGTATAAACTGTAAATAAAAGTTACCAAGCCCTAATCGCTTTCATTTTCCAGCATATCGGACCAGCCAATGTTCAATAACCTCAATCGTGACGCACTAAATGAATTTATGGCTACAATGGTTGGTTACAATTTCTACATAAATAACAAATTATTATAAATTAAAAATTCAATAATCATCATTATTTGTATTAGATTTCTTCTTTGGCTCAAAACAATGCCGCGCAAGGGCAAAACCAGCAGCATCAACAACAGCCCCCTGAAGAAAGGTACCGAGCCCAACTCGAACAATTAACTGGCATGGGATTTGGGAATCGGGAAGCAAATCTTCAAGCTCTTATTGCCACATTTGGTGATGTTAATGCTGCCGTTGAAAGACTATTAAGTAATCACAATTTTCCTCAGTCGTAGGTAGAGATTTGGCGTCATTGACATCAGTCAGTACTGTAACTGTAGCTGAATCTTAACTATATATAATCTTATGCCATCATATATATATAAGTCTATCTGATTGTAACAAGTGTATCAAAATTATTTTTCAACGCAAAGTATGCCTGCTATAATATTTAAATTGCACTATAAATTCTCGGTGACTTGGTCCAAAATGTCATTAGAGTATACACTATTTACATAATTATGTCACATTACGTAACAATGACCTTCTTCTCTTGATTGATTCATCAACTAACTAATACGGATAACTTTTGGTCTCTTAAATGGCTACACGTTGGTTAATATAACATTACTACAGTATTTCTAAACGGTCATCAACAACCCCAATCGAAGTATGACCTGGGAGGTTGTGCATTGCAAGTTTTCCCTGTAACAAAGTAAAATTCCATTCGATGACTGAATGATCTAGGAGTTAATTCAGGATAATACATTTTGAGATGTTTAAAAATTGGCTGTTATTTTTCTGTAACAAAATTAATTATGTATTGGTAGATTAAGAGTTCACCGTTACTCCAAACTTGTGATTTGATTGTTAATTGCAAATAATATGCTCCCACCCTCTCTCTCTTTTTCTCTCCATGAAACAATTACAATTGAGGACTACATTCTAAATTGCTGTGGTTGAATGTGAACAAGTTACTCAAACATTAAGTAGGTTTAAGTTGCTAAAACTTAAGTTGTACTATTTACTATTGAATGAAAATGCGAAGACGAATGAATGACATGAAAACTTGTCCACAGTCTGCTACGTAGTCATATTTTTATTCAAGATCTGGATTTATGGTTATTCTATTTATCGTCGTCATGCATGGTGTCATGTAGTGCTATTATATTTTAAACAGACATTATGAACTATGTTAAACAAAAAAATGTTTGAGTGGTGTGCGACAGAGACGGTTTGTGTTGATATTTATCATTTTATTTTTAATTGTCGATAAATTCTAAGCGTGAAATGAATCCAACCTGTTTTTCGTCTGATTGGAACTGAGCTTACTGTTATTAATAAGAGTATTGTTGTTATTACAAACTATGATTGATTTGTATGATTGGTTTTCCTCTGTTATGTTACTGTTATTCACACAAATTGTTTAGATAAATAAGAAACTTCACTAGTAAAATAGCAAAAAATAAAAATTTATTTAGGTCGAGTAAATAATTATGTGTACTTTTTCAACATGTGTACCAACGCATAAAATAACGTATCACATTATTGAATTTATAAAAGCGCATTACAAAACAATTATTATTAATACATTATGATAATTCATATTCACAAAGAATTAATATTTTTAGTCGCTTATAAGTACAGTCAATGGAAAAAGTATTGGCAACCCTCACGGTAGCTAAATAAAATTGGCTATAACCTGGGAATGCATTATGCAATTGGCATGAAAATTTGTACGCATTTAGCAAATATAATGTAGTTTTCGATTATAATCATGTTTTATTGATTAAAATTAGATAAACAAAGTTTTTAAATAATTTGTTGGAAAATTTGCAAAATTAACCCGCAATAAGTATTGGCAACATGTGGCCAAATTAATTACGCGAAACAACTTTCTTAATCAACTACCACACATCATTACGGTAAGTTAATTAGGTGACAAAATACGACGATAGCTACATTTTAAGTCAGCAGTTGTGTTGTCTGGAACCAAAATGGCGACACCTAACGAACTGTATTTGGTGCGGTGAGAAATATTTATTTCTTTTTCGCAAAAAAAACTTGGATATCGAAAAATCAATGGAAAACATACTTTTCCATATTTGCTATTGAAAATGTAGCCAAGAAATATAAAATGACAATTTTAGTATCTGCTTTTCCATGATGCGGAAGAAAAAAGTCACCTACGCACTAACGCAAATGATGAATCAAAAAACAAATTACTTGAAATCCGAAGATTTCAACACCCAAAACCACTTAGAATTTGAGAACCAACTGTGGAGTCAATATTTCATACAATATGGTGATCAATCAAAAATCACGTCATGGGGTTTCAGGGTCCAGTAGCCCCATAAAAGGGAAGGCTCCCGAAACGAACCAACTCAAGGTATTTAAATCAGCTAAATACCACCCTAAATAGACTTCCAATTGATGAAGAAGGGTCTAGTGGTCTCACGTAAGTAAATTTAACTTATTCGGTGCGGGTTGGATGGTTAGAGTTTGGAGGATGCAAAATGAGGCTCTCAAAAATGAATGCTGCCGTCTGGTAGTCAAGCTCGGAGAAGGATCGATTATGGTTTGGGTTGAATGACTAGGTCGTTGCGTAGTTAGCTGGTCACTATCGATGAAGTTATGACCAATGAGGTCTAATTAATCATTCGAAACGATAATTTGAAAACATTTCACAAAAACCTGACCTAGGAAGTAATTTCATATTACAAAAATGCGGTGGCCCCAAAACATGCATCCACATTAACGATGCATATTTTTGGAGACAGAAAAGACTAAGCTTCTTTCGTTAGCTGCACAGTCTCCCGATGTGATTCTGATTGTCCGGGATGAGAAAAGAGAGACTGGTGGGAAATCACTCTACAAGAAACGAGCTTGTCAAAAGTTCGAAAGAAGATTGGGAAACCATATCCAAAAGCGTTATAAAGAAATCTATCCAGTCAATTCCAAGGCGTATTTCTGCTCTTATTGCATCGAGACGAGGTGCTACGCGGTACTGGAAGCAGTTTATCGAAACAAAATTGCCGTGTCTTTGATAATGACTTTTAAAGTTAAGGGTTGCCAATACTTCTTGCGGGTTAATTTCGCAAATTTTCCAACAAATTATTTAAAAACTGTGTTTATCCAATTTGAATCATTAAAACATGATTATAATCGAAAACTACATTATATTTGCTAAATGCTTACAAATTTGCATGCCAATTGTATAATGCATTCCAAGGTTATAGCCAATTTTATTTAGCTAGCGTGGGGGTTGCCAATACTTTTTCCATTGACTGTATAACATGGATTTATACATACGTATGTACTCCAGATTCTGGAGTATGTATACCAGAGAACGCACTACTAATAACTTACCGCAGGCGCATAATAGTACTATTATAATTTTAATAGTTCGATATTATTATTTAAAAAATGCATGTCATTTCATTAGTCAGGAAATAAGAATATGACACCACAAATCGTACTAAATCCTAAAATGAAACTAAGAAGTTTTGGCAGGTGGAGATGACCCGATCTAAATTCGTTGGGCAATACTTCCAAGAATACAACATATAGAAAGGTCCCTGCTGCGAACCCTGTAAAATTATTTTTATTAAAAGTAAAATTTAATCATAAAGCTCTATAGAATTAAGGGTACCTTGTAAAGACCCAACGACGAGAGAGCCGTTGAGAGTCTCCAAGTTGGTCAATAAAAGTCCAATTCCTATTCCAACCGGAGAAGAAAGTGCAAATATCACCCCACAAATTGCTGACTTTATTGTGCTCAAAGGACTCTGAGATAGAGTCAGTCCTAGACTAAATGAGATGACTATTTTATGTAATACCAAGGCCCCTGTAATCTGTGACGCAAATTGTGAATACATTTGAATAAGATTAATGTCATAACTTGGCTCCACCTTAACTGAACCCCCATATACAGTCAATGGAACAAGTATTGGCAACACCCACGCAAGCTAAATAAAATTGGCTATAACTTTGGCATGCATTATCGAATTAGCATGAAAATTTGTACGCATTTAGTTAATTTAAAGTTGTGTTCGATTATAATCATGTTTTACTGCTCAAAATTATATTAACGCAGTTTTTAAATAATTTGCTGGAAAATTTGCAAAATTAACCCGCAAAAAGTATTGGCACCCTCTAACTTAAAAAATCATAGAGGAAAGAAAGGCCAATTTTACTGCAACACACTGCTTCTAGTATTACGTGGTACCTCCCCTCGACGCAATAAGAGCAGAAATAGGCCATGGAATTGATTCGACAAGGTTCTTTATAACGTTTTTTTATATGGTTGGCCACACTTGTTTCGAACTTTTGACAAGCTCGTTTTTCGTCGAGTGGTTTCCCACCGGTCTCTCTTTTCGCAGCCCAAACAATCAGAATGACATCAGGAGACTGTGCAGCCAACGAAAGAAGCGTAACCTTTTCGGTCTCCAAAAACTTGCATCGTTAATTGGGGTAGCTGTTTTGAGTCACTGCATTTTTGGAATATAAAATTCCTCCACAGGTCAGGTTTTTATCAAATAATTTCAAATTATCGTTTGGAATGATTACTTCATGACCTCCCTGGTCATGATTTTGTCGATAATCACCAGGTAAACACGCCGCCACCTAGTCATTTAACCCCAAACCATAATCGATCCTCCTATGTGTTAAACTGCCATACGAACGTTTTAGTATTTCTGAGCCTTTTATTGCATCCGCCAGACTTGAACCAATTAATGAGCTCCGAATAAGTAAAATATGCCTATGTCAGACCAGTAGACTTTATTTCATTCATTGGAAGTCAATTGAGGCTTATATTTAGCCCATTCCAATTTATTGAGGTGGTTCGCTTTTGGGACTCTCTCGTCGGTCGGGCTACTGGAGCCTGAAACCCTAAGGCATAATTTTTTAGTGAACACCAAATTGAATGATATGTTTGCCCCACAGTTGGTACTGAAATTCAACATGGATTTGGGGGCTAAAATCTTCCGATCTCGAGTGATTTGTTGCTTGATTCATCAGTAGATTTTGGGCGTAGGTGACCTTTTTCGTCCGCATCGTCGAAAAGTAGAAACTGAGATCGTCATTTTATATTTCTTTGCTACGTTTTCAATAGTGAATATGGAAAAGTATGTTTTCTCTTTGATTTTTCGATAACAAAGCATTTTTATAGAAGAGGCATGAATATTTCTCGCCGCGCCAAATATAGCTGGTTTAGTGCCGCCATTTTGGCTCCAGACAACACAACTGTAGACTTAAAATGTCGCTAACGTTATATTTTGTCACCTAATTACCTTACCGTAACGAAATGTGGAAGATGGTTAAGAAAATTGTGTCGAGTAACTAATTTAGCCACATGTTGCCAATACTTTTTGCAGGTTCGTACCTGACTCGTTAAGGTCAAAATCAGGATTGCGTTATGTTTACAAGATTTAAATCGGAAACACGATTATAATCGAACACTACATTAGATTTATCAAATGTGTTCAAAGTTTCATGCCAATTTGATAACGCATGGCAAAGTTATAACCAATTTTATTTAGCTTGCGTGGGTGTTGCCAATATTTTTCCATGCCAATTTGATAACGCATGGCAAAGTTATAACCAATTTTATTTAGCTTGCGTGGGTGTTGCCAATACTTTTTCCATTGACTGTAGTATCATATTATAATAATATTATACCTGTAACACGTTCTCCACTGTATTTTGAACACCAATTGCGATCCCTTCAAATGTGGAATGTATAATTAATGCTGTAGTCATTGCTAATGCTCTAATCGTCTGATTTTGACCATGATTTACAATTTCACTCGGCGTGTCATCATCATCCGTTATACGAGATTCTCCCAATATGGGTAACGCTTCAGGTCGTGATAGAGAAAAATTCCGTTCTCTAATATCAGAAATTATCTGCTCTATCGTTAATAGCATAAAAAACCCAATAGCAATAGTAAAATTAGCAAAGGGAAATTTATTGTCCGGATCGATTTGTTGCATTGCCTGGCAAAGAGGGACAGATACAATTAAAACGATCACTGCTACACACACATTTTGTGTAGGAAATGGTCATAGTCATATTAAATGATTTTACCTGATTCACATTGTCCTGTACATCAGGAAATAAGTGAAGAAGGCATGTGCCTAAAAAAATCCCAGCAGCATAGCAGTTCAAAATACTAACAATTGACGCATATCTAAAATTCAGAAAATATTAGTCATCATACTTCATCGTGTCTTTCACAAAAGCAGTGCATTAATTACCATTACCTGTCCAAATGAAAAATGTCGACGCCACTTTCAGCAGCACTCGCAGCAAATTTTACAGGTACAAATACGCAAAATAGGACAATAAAAAAGAGGAAAAGTATTACAATTTCTTTTACGATGCTGAGATCCATATTCAATAGTTGTATTTTATTGTATATGTTGTGGGATGCTGTGGTGTAAGATGGGTTGAATGTTAATTACACTGAGCTGTTAGATTAGATCATAGAAAAATGAAGAAGTTATTCTTGTCAGTATCTGGTTGCTAATCGGATTAATCATTATCAACGTCCCAGCCAGATGCAGCTATTGCTTCCTACACAAATATAATGAAAAAAATGCAGTACTATTAACTATTGCAGCACACATGTTTCAACTTATACTTACGTGCATGCAATATTCCAATTAATTCAGTTCTACTTTAGATTAACAGTCTAAAAATGAAGACGTATTACAAAAACGGGTATCGTTCCATGAAACTAATCAGCTGCTCTGCATTGTACGTACTAAACTCCCCAAGCTCTAATTCTGGTAACAGGTTGTTGCTAAACATGTAAAAACAGCTAAACAACAGAGTGAATCAGCTCTTGTGACTGAAGTCATAGAAGTATGAATCATCAGACATTTATCATTCATAGTTTCATAGAACAGGATGACACTATAAAAATGCATGGACAATACGCCCCACACACAACATTGCTTTGTTTGTTGAATCTGTAAATAATTTGGAATGAAGTTTGGAGTTGTCCGAGATTTTCAGATCTTCAGATTTTTTAAAAGCATTTTAATATGTCTCAGATTTTGTGACCGATTTTATCATAAATGCTAATTTAATCATAATAGAAATAGAGTTTATCAGATAAACAATAAAAATTTAATTTCCAAAATTGGCTGGAATATGAGTGTTTCGAAATTTTAAAAACGGGTAGCATTTGAAATGCTATTGTACCAACGGGTTTTTAACACAGTTTCGTCTTATTTTGAAGTTATTTTATTCGTTGCAACCTACATGATTAGTTGCCAGTTCTAGTAGAAATTCTATACATAATTAAATGGCAGAGAAGATTTCATAATGAAGCGTTAAGCATAATAATCTATATTTGCACATTAAAATTCAAACTCGCGATTGAACTATTTGGCCCATGGGCACATAACATAGAACGCATGCAGAGATAGATTGAGATAAAATTTGACAAGCTACTTTATCCAATGAATGTTATTACCCATGAAATTTGAAACCTGTCTAAATTACCCTTTTGTATGCATGAAGTACGAAAGTGGGACGTGAGAACAAGTAAGAAAGAGAACCTGATACTTTATTTAGTGCCTGAAATATAAATAAATTTATGCATTACATATACAACTGCTAAAACGGAGTAAGGTATAGAGCTATTGGTTTGAATAAGTTCTCATGAACGTTTCATAGAATAATATATTTTGCATTATACATGCACTTGTAACACTTCTATGGCACTAACTAGAGCCTACAGTCTGAAGCTGTATGTGGGATATATAAATTGGGTAATTTTTGGCATATCCAGATTTATAGGTTTCATTGTTTGACTTCTTTACCAAATGAAAATGACTGAACAATGGAATGCTCTAAATCCATGTCCATTAAGAATAATATTTCAATTCGCCCATATTGCGTGGATTCGCAAATACCTCAGCGGCAATCAGTCCACATTCTGCCCAAAAATCCAAACACACTCACTCGACTGAATATTTAGAAATTATAATGTAGTTGTATTTTACAAGCTCTTTAATTTTTCATTTTTGTATTACTTCTCTTGTTTTATTGATAATGTTATTTTTCATACATGTTTATAGATTTGAAATATAATGAGGGTTTTTATAAAAAATTTGGTGGGATTTACAGAAAAAAGTTAACCTACTGCTGCTAGTAACTGCAATCAAAATATTTTTAGTTTAGGGATCATATTTAGGATAAAATTGAGGTTGAATTAATATTATAATATGTCCTCTACCAGCGAGATAGACATGGAGGAAGCGGATGCAGTGCATCACCGAATTTTGGAGATGCAGGCGCGGCGGCCTATTCATGTCGACCTCGTCGTCATGTCAGAGGTTGACCGTGAACAGAGTTACGACGACGACAACAAGCACTTGGCAAACCACGGGGGGAGGAGGAATTTGAGTTCGGATGCTCAAGCCGTGTTAGCCGTGGGCTCTCCATCTTCGTCCACTCGGTCAACCGCCACCACTACTCCTCGCAACGACAAGTCCTCCTCACCTGCCAAGAGCAATGGGGTCAGCACAGGGGGGACGAACGGAGAACACGAAGAGGAGTCCTTCGGCTTCGACATTGTGTTCTTCAGAAGATTTTATCGGCTCCATGGTCTTCTTTTCCTCTCTTGCACTTCATTGTCAACACTTCTTTTTGCGTTCCTTATTTCCATTTGTCTCCTCCGTATGTTGGTATTACTTATCGTTGTAGAAAGTTAATTTTTGAGGTTTTTAAGATTCTAATAACTATTTCTACTATTTGCAGAAGAGTATATCGTCTACAGAGTTGGATTAATTGCAAGTGGATTTTATAAAGTTCTTGCTGATAGGGACGTCTCTGGATTTCAAACACAAACGTATACGTCACTAGGAATTATCTTGGCAGTGGCATTTGTGAGTTGCACAGACATATAAAGGTGGATATAACAAAAATTTTCTTTGTTGTACATTTTGATTTGATCTAATTTTCAGACCAAAAGTACAAACCAATACGTCCAAAAAGTACTGACAGTAACGTGGAGACAATTACTGTGTAAAGCTGTGCATAGATTATACTTTGCGGATATACGATACTATCAACTGAACGTCTTGGATAAATCGATCGATAATCCGTAAGTAATGCTGGTAATAATTGGTAATTAATAAGTAAATGAAGGTTGACGTTTATAATTTTTTTAAGTGACCAACGAATGACACAGGATATCGACAAGTTTTGCACGACTTATTGTGAAATATTGCCTAAGCTGATTATTTCTCCTTTTGTAATATCATATTATTGCTATCAAGCGTATGACAGGTAAACACTTCAAAAACAGAGTTAACTGAAATTTTAAATTTAAGTTGAAATTCTGAATTATTTAGGTCAGGCTGGCAAGGACCATTGGGATGTTTTTGTTTTTTCTTTGTGTCAACTATTGTGAATAAAATAATTATGACGCCAATCGTTCAGTATGTTGTGAAACAAGAACAATGTGAAGGGAATTTCAGGTAAATTTTAATTTAGCTACTAGACAATCATATTTTAATATTCTGATGCATATTAATGAATGTATTCAGGTTTATTCATATGTTGGTCCGGGTCAACTCTGAATCAATTGCATTCCTAAATGCTTCCGGAATCGAAGCCGACAAAACCAACGAGTCCCTCGATAAATTGATCCAAACTCAACATCGCTTATATTTTCGTCAATTTTTTCTCAACTTTTCTGTTAATATGTTTGACTATCTGGGGTCAATATTTAGTTATTTAATGCTTGCAATTCCAATATTTTCGGGCCGGTATGATGACCTAACACCAGCAGAACTAAGTGCTGTAATAAGCCAGGTATTCAACTTCAAATAAATCTGACATATTTCATGGCAAAGCTTGTGTATTTATGTATAATGGTCATTCTTATTTTTCAGAATTCGTTTGTACTGATATATTTGATATACACGTTTTCATCTTTAGTTGATACGTCGGGAAAGTTTACAGACATAGCTGGCGTAGTTCATCGAATATCACAATTAATCGAAAAACTAAATGCACTTGGGGATTTCTGGAATGACTTGTTCCCAGATGATTATGACCAACGCACTGCTAGTTCTTTGGAATTATATGGAGAATGGTCAAATAGACGTAGAGATGCCGGCCGGGATGGTGATGACTCACTTGATGATAAAGCCAAACGAAATTCTCACTCTAGTAGATTACTTCCAGCCATTATGTTAAAAGATGTTACATTTTCTCCGCCAATGTGTGAAAAACCCTTAATTGTGAACTTGACAATGTCATTTTCTGCTGGAGAATCTATTTTGATAATTGGTCACAGTGGGTATGGTAAATCTAGCCTATTAAGAATATTGCGAGGACTTTGGCCTCACACTGAAGGAACAATTCGAAAATTTTATCCACCCGGACCACAAGGAGTTCTTTATTGTCCTCAAAAACCATACCTTACTATCGGTACCTTACGAGATCAGGTATAGTTGATTAATTTTATGGTATATAAATAAATTTGGAAGGCATTCTAGTAGAGCGAATCTGTCTAACAATTCTGATTTTTTGTATTATAGGCATGCTTTCCTCTAAAGTCAGGTTGTTCTAGTGCACAGGAGGACAACTTGATTATCCATTACTTAAGTTTGCTCAAGTTGAAGTCTCTGTTGGAACGAGTTGGGGGACTGGACGTTGTGGTTTCTTGGAATTTGTAAGTTATTCTTAACAGGAACAAGAACGTAACCACTCTAACTAACTAAACTTAATAAAATTATTGTTCTTAGATTGGATAGTCTTTCGCCTGGAGGTAACATTTAATTTATATACCTGTCAACATCCCTGAGAGGACTAAAGTATACTTTGATTCTATTCCAGAAATGCAACGTCTCAGCTTCGTTAGGATATTCTTCCATCGTCCCCTTATTGCAATTCTTGATGAAGCAACAAGTGCCTTGCCATTAGAAATGGAGAGCTTAATTTACTTGGAGTGCCAAAGACTGGGCATTACAACCATCAGCGTTGGCCATAGAGCTTCCCTTCGACAATTTCATGATAAATTACTTACCATCGCCCGAAATGGTGGATGGACGTTAGAGCCAATAGTTCCTATATAAAAAATATATATAATAGCGAAATTTAATTTGCATTCTTATTAGTCCTTCAAATGCTGTCTCATAAGTATTATGACATGAATTTTATTGAAATATTATGACTGAGACAAGCTAGTTTTAAAATAAAGTTTAATTTATTCAAAATATTCCTATTTTTTATGTCCACCCCACGGGAATCCACGATAATTGAGGAAGTCTTGTACACTGTGGGAAATGTTGTAAGCATTCATCATGGCTGCGTCGCCAAACACATCACAAATCTCACGATTTCTTCTTCCTTCAAAGTAGATAATTTCAAATAAAACAATTTGTATGTAAAACATCACTGAAAAATATTCCTATACCTGTTCTCTCTTTTTTCTTTGGTTTCTTCCCCCCTTTGACTGTTCCAACGACAGCAGGTTGTGGGGGGCTGCTTGGATCTGGATTTTCTTCTTCCTATAAATCATACGATGATCAAACATTGGCAAAGCTATTTATTTCTTAAAATTTCTTAAGATTTTAAAAAGCAAACTTACTGCGACAGAGGAATCCATAATTTTCTTGTATTCAAGTGACTTGCTTGATCAATATCGAATGCGTATACGTACTTACATATGTATATGTACATACAGAGATATATGCAAATCATGGGTGGTTTTGATGAAATATACAGAAACTCGCACGTACGTAAATATAAAGAATGATATTTATTTCATGTAGTTATTTCATTCAACAATTTTTATATCATATTGTGACAAACTACAGAATATAACAAAATAGACACTGAAATTTTGGTTTATGGAATAGAGCCCGATGCTGTGTGGGGAAAACCTCTACTTGATTCGGATAGCGTTCCGAGATCACCATATAAAGATATTTTTGTAAAATATAATGTACAATTCTTTGGATTTTGTTAAGTCGCTAAAATGGATACCACATTCCTCCCTGAGTGATTATGAGCTTATTCGTTGCAATAAATATGAGGTTTCTCCAGTATTGTATTGTTGCATATTCTTCTCTCCACTTCTCTGATTAAAGTAATGACTCTGAATTACCATATAAATGGGATAACTGCCTTCCTGTTCTTCGGATAATCTTTGAACGTAGACTGATACCAACGATGATTCATAACGCCTGTTGTGATCTGGAGATAAATATTGTACATTTTAAAATGTTTTAAAATATATCTTCCTACATTAAAAATAAATTAACTAAAATAACAATTTAGACCCAACCTGATTTGCAATAACCCACAACGCAATAAAATTCCACGTATAATTTTGCAGCTGGAATAGTATCGCAATAGCAGAGTAAACCAAAATCTCTCCCCTGTATCAAATAAAGTGAAAATGAGATGAAATTTTATTCTCAAATTCACGCCTCATCAGTAGAGCCAATAGTAAAATTTATCTATTACCAGTAATTTGGACATGAGATTGTGTCGAAATGACCTCCACGTGGAATCTGGTGTTTCAGCGTGACCACCTTATTCTCTAAACGACAAAAATTGTACTGCGAGTGATTAAGTGGATTTGACCCGCATTGCTATTATAGATACACGCAGTCATGACATACCTTTACCCTTACGTAAACTCGCTAAGCCTACATGTGCCTGGTACTGGACCCAAGAACCATAAAGGAAGATGACCATTGCCACGTATTGCAATGCACTGATGTCAGTCCTCCGCAAAGTCAAATCTGTTGGAATATAAAATGCTATAATTATTGAATTTCTCAGAGTTGTCAACCAATGTAAAATTGTTATCACCACTCTTTGTAGGAGAGTCGCTAGAAAAAACAGGACTATAGGCCGGTATCGTCAACATGCAGCCTAGTTAAAACATTGAAGTACAAGACTTATTTGTATCATGCTCAAATGTTAATGTGGGATTATTCACTATTAAACTTACCAGTGTAGTGCACATATGTCAAAAAATAGTGCACGACATTCATCTTTGTATTAGAGTATACGCAAACAAAACACGTTTCGTATAAGCGTCTAGAAAGTTGAATGAAGAAAATTATCACTGCCAAAACTGTGATAGTAGAGTTAACTGTAAATTAGAGTTGAGAGTTTATAATAGTTACGCCATCGTAATTTTGAAAAATTCAAAACATTTTTTGTGCTTAAGTAATTTTTTTTATAATACAATACCTGTTTCTGCACGAGCATTGCCACCAACTTTCTCCAGTACATATGTGAGCCACGACTTGGATCCACCATTCCAGTACGTTGTTAAAACGGTATAAACAATGACGGATTGAATACATATTGCGTATATGTACACATGATAAAACCACCTAAAAATTTTACAAAAATTAATATACATCAGAATCAAGTGCAAACGAGGAGAATTCGAAACTGTGAAAAATTCAAGTCACTTTTTGGGAACTTCAATTTTCTTCAGCCAACCGTATTCTTTATCTTTCTGTGACACATTCGCCCTTCCGTAGCGAAAACATCTCAAAACGAAGCTAGGAATGTATTTATCAGCATAGTTTAGTATTAACCCAGGAAGAAAGGTGACAATTCCGATAATTATAAACACAATTTGAATGAAGTTTGTGGAATCCATGCTCTGCTTACAGGGTGGAAACTGGGAAGGTGTTCAACTAATCGTAAACTAGAGAAAAAATTGAAGATGTTTAGTTAAAATAACTTTCTAATTGTGTTCAATAAATTTATCAAGTACCAATAAAATACCAAGCTGCACACTTTTCGCATCTGTTCTTGCTACAAAAATGCCTCAAAGTCATATAACATTGGTGTTGGTGTAATAAAGATCAAATACAAAAGCATATACACATGTATACATGCATATAAAAAACCGGTTTATCAAGGAGCGGTACACGCTGTCAGAGAACATTTTCCCAGAAAAAGACCTTTCGCTTGGGAAATAGGTAGGTGGGCGTGGGAATGACCTGAGCATATATATATTTACGTCGTAAAATATAACATTTCACACGAAACATTTTGCTATAAATGATTTATACTTTGCTGTCACGCTTTACTATTGCATTTTATCTTACGTGTTATAATTTTATTGTGTAAATATTGCTGGTGAAAGGCACAGTCCGAGTACAATCCAGTCAAGCTTCAGACAAGGTCATTGGAGTCGAGATTTTTGTCATTCATTTCTGATCGAGCGATTTGCAAATAATAAATGCAATGCATGAATGGAACAATCACATGTACATGGAATATGATTGTTGTAATTTAATATTCATGGAATAGGATACCTGGAATTGAGGGGAGTTTTCTAATGCTAAATTATGTTATGTAGTTATGCGTTAGTATACAGTGATCCATTAACGGGCAGATAACAAGATCATTATATTAAAAATATAGAGAATTGATTTTTTTACCGATCCCCAAAAAAGAAGTGAAATGAAAAATGGGCTTGAAACACACTTGCTTATCTTCAGATGAAAGATCAAAGTCAAACTTTGGTTTAAGATTAGTTTAATTTGCCTCGTATAAAATCGACTGCCTATGCTATGCAATGCAAGTGCTACAGATAGTATTTTTTTGTAAGTCATGAAATAAAATAGGTTTCATAAACAAGGATGACAGTATGCAAGCATTGATTTGTACATGGCGTGTTCAACATATTTTTCATCTCCATTATTTCGGAGAATTACAATATTATGTGCGAGATGACAAAAGGAAAAGAATATTCGCGTTTTTGTGGGTTGTAGGTGGTTACCATTATCCTGTCAGGAAGCTCACTCGGAGGATTAAAGTTCCAACTATTTTCTGTCCAGTTTGATTTTTTTAAAGAATTTGCACGTCTAGTCACTCCGTCGAAATCATTTTGGTAAGTAATAGCTAGAAATTTACTATTGCAATACACTATTAATTCCATATGTACATGTGCAGGTAATGGCGACTGTCGTTAGAATTGTGCTGTCGGTCCTATTCATTATACAACATGCCTCCGCCCACACGGCTAATGCCACAAAAGTTTCATCCACAACTCTAATTCCCCCCGGTAAAAATTCCTTCGAATCGAAAGTTACGAAGAATGAAGAAAAGGTGCCCTCTTCTGCCAATCCGTCTCCTCCCCCCAAGTTCCCACAAAATATTGGAGATTGGAGCATCAAAGAGAATGGAGTTGTATGCATTGAGATCATCGGGGCCATACAGATTATTTACAATCACAGTATTGCTGGGGCAAATCAAACAGAAATAACCACTTTAGACGTTCCAACAGCAAGCAAAGAATCAGGGAATTGTGGTAACGCCACACAGATGCTGAGCCTAGCTTGGGAATCTCAAAATCAAACAAACTGCACCATCAGGTTCCAATTCGAAATAAAGGACAAGAAAATTTCCCTTACCCAAGGCAAAGTGTCGATTTCAACTGGAAATACTACGCAAAACTTCAACATTGGAAAGGTCAATGATTTTGACACCCCAATGACTTACTCATTCCAGTGCAAAACCACCCTTACAGTACCGATGGATAACAATGCAACCCTGAAATTTGCAAATCTCAAAATGCAAGCATTTCGACCGGATAACTCGGTGGCTTTCGAAAAACAAATTACTTGTTCTGAAGATAACGTCGGAACTGGATTGGGTGTCACGGCTAAAGTATTTCTTGGTATTTTTATTGTCATTCTTATTGTTACCCTGGCTGGAGGAATATTTTGGTACTTTCGCCGTTTCCAGAATCCTACAGCGGCGTATAATAACATGTAAAAAAAATTTAGGTTTTGGCCATGTTTTGTATCGCACGTTTTTTTAATTCGTAAAATTGTTCGCACACTGTTCCATATTAAGACTAGCCTATGCATATGTTTCAAATGTTGTAATGCATAAATTAATGTATTGTTAAGAATATCCAACTACATATATTATAAAATTGTGCATATTTACCAGTATTGTTAATATACATATGCAGACAAATTAATTTCGCGAAGTGAAACATTCAATGTTCAACATATTTTTATGCCCAAAATCTTGGCGTATTTTGAATCATTTAAAGAAAACAAGGAATTTGGTTTAACAACGGTTTCCATTTGATTCTAGCAAATTAAACTGTTATCCTCGGATCCGCATACATAAATACATTGTACATACATATGTACAAAATAAACTTTACCCCTTGATAAATAAGTTTGCCTTTCTCGATAAATAATTAAGTTGTTTAATATAATCATCCCTGAGGTCAACATCGCAGTGAATTTAATACGTTAGTCAAAACATACTTAGAAAATCTGTGTATAAATATGTACCTATATTGCAAAAACCTACATACACTCGTATACTTTCTATTAAAGCACAAATGCACTAATGGGGTAGGCGCAATTTTTGCAAATTACAAACGTGGTTATCGGAGCAAAAACTATTCTGGCCTTCTCACATTTGGTGATGGAACAATCAAACCCAGCTTAATTGAAGTTGAGCCAATTTCTTAATTAATCATTATTGTACAAATCCTTCAAATTATGTAGCTAGTTAAAAATACTGTGGTTTTCACTCAGGTTGTAGACTCTGTAGACATGACGCATGGGAAAAAAATTTGAAAAATATAAAATGACAAAAAACTATACCACATCTAATTTCTTTAGTGTTTCGAAATTTGCCTATTAAATTATTTGATTTCACAAACCAAAGGGCCAGTTTTTTTTTAATTTTTGAAGAAAAATATGGCAATTTGCGAGGGTTGACTGCTTTGTGTTGCATGGAGTGAAATTATGTAAGATTTCGTGTTGCGATTCACTATAATAATAAATGCATAAATCCAATAAAAATAAATACCTGCATGATGTGTGATACATATGTACATAGTGACAGCAACAATAAAACTGCAATCTAAAAGCGCATAATAAACATTTTGTTCGTCATTAGTAGTTGGTTTTTATTGACCGAGATAGATTTTTACATCAAAATGGTCTTGTCTTTTACCATCGAAAGGGAGAGAAGTAGAACTGGCAAGAAATAAGAGATTCTTTCCAAAGACTGATTCTGTTCACTGAGATGAAGATGACACATTTGCAAGACTGCTACATTTTTTGCAAGGAAATACAATGCAATGCACTCATGTAAAGAAATGCAAGCGCATTATTCGATTCATTGTTGAATTTTTGTTGGCCATGGAGAAATACAAGGTTTTTAAGCCGGTTGTGGTTTGCCACAGGTATGAGCATCTCCTGTCGCTCAGCCTCTGCGACGAGGTGTGGAAATTGACAGACACTGCACTGCATGGCTTATGGTCACTCGCGAATTTGAGCAGCATTGAATGTTGTACATAATGAATGAGGCTGCTGTGTGGTATTAAAAAGTTTAATGGTTGTATTTTGTGAAGCTCGACAAGCGTATGTATGTACATACTCGCAGGTATTTCCAACATGCACAAGAAAATTACTTGGCAAGCAGACTACCTCTTTCAGTTTTAGGCAATCTTTCGAGTCTTCATTAGCGAAATCTCTTTCTAGACTAAAGTCAGTCTTGTGCTTGAACCAGGCCACTGAGGACGCCATAAATTTACCTTTCGGTTAGCTCGCCCTTGTTTTCATTTTCTCGACATTAGTCAAAGTGCTTCGCTGTTTAGAGCATAGCAATGGCCCAATTCATCCCCAATGCAAGCGAACAGGAGACTGTTAACAAGGTATTTGTACATATGTACATATTGAAATAACAATTCAACCCTCAAATTATAATTTTCTATAATTTGGACAAATAGCTTCGAGAACAACTGGTTGATGTGTCGGATTGGCAGGACATCCAGCAAGATGCGTTTCTCTTAAAGTGGCTGAAAGGTGAGCTACTAATGTCACGGTATGCACACTGTTATTTCTTAAACCATATAATGTATTTTACAGCCAAAGACATGGATTTCGAGAAGACGAAAGCTGGACTTTTGGAAGTAAATATTCATTAACGTTGTGATTTAATGTTTATAAAATTTTACGAATGTGTTCCGCAGTGCTACAAGTTTCGAAAAGAAGCCGGTTTGGACACTATCCTGAAGGACTATACTCCAGATCCAGAGTTGGAGAAATTGTTCCCCTACGACATAACAGGCTACGACAAGGAGGGCTGCCCAAGTAAGCGTTTTTATGCTCTGTATCTCTCTTGCTATGAATTATTTAAGATGCAAAACTTACTGCTTAGCCTCATTATGATATAAACTTGATGCTCATTTTTTGAAGAAAACAAAACTATTTCATCGCTGGCTTAAATACATATTTATTTACAAAATTATGCTATGAGAGTGTATCCTTTGCTAGTACAGACAGAGTGAGAAATACTCGTTATCATTAATTTTTCCCATTGATGCAAGTGATCTCTGTACCTTGTCGAATTAAAGTGTGAGTCATCCCTCCTAGTATGAGGCAGATTACATGCTTACTCCTTTAAGCACGCCCAAGAATTGTGCAGATCGTTTTCATTGATAAAGTTTATAATTGAGAGAGATTTATTAAAGCAGAATTCCTTATAGTTCTTCAAGTAGGAAAACGAAATAAGTAAATTAATTCGTTTTTATGATTCACATGCATTGAATTTTTCATATAAACGGCAGATATATTGCGGTCATCTCTCTCAGACACAAGGGCCAAACTTGTATTTTTGAGGAATCATATTGTCTAACAACACAAGTGTGGTTTATTTATGAGACCATGTTTGCATATATGAATTACGTACACGGTTAATTTAATGCAGGATAATTTGAGACAATATAAACTTACAAATTATACATTTGCTCATACATGCATACATGCTTAAGTATGTACACGCATACATATGTATGAATAGCCCACATATGTAGCAAAACTAGTATATATTTTGAACATGCGTCATGAGAAAAATTGAAATGTCTTAGTTGCTTAGATGTAAGACAACAAACGTGAAAAAATCTGGATTTGCACACCTTTAAGAAAGCTCACTTTCTGCACCACCACTGATTATGAGAGCGATTTCACGTTGGGTCACAGGAAGTATGCCAAATCTGTTTTTGCACGAACATTGTTTGAGAAATTATAGTGATGAAGGACTTTTCTTGTTCTAATTTTATTTTATTAAAATCATTTCCAACTGTTGGGACGGGAGAAGGAAAATATTTTATCTAATTTATTCTCATATTCATGCCTTCGCAAATGCTTTGGTTGAGTTTGCAGCAAAATTCAAGTTCTCATGCAGAAAATTACTGAAATGTTGGCGATTGATTGATATATCTAAATATGTATGGTTCGAGTATACGAACAAGTTTTTATTGTCCTAATTAGAATGCTCGTTCATTAACGGGTAATTACTGATTAAGGTTTGTAGGAGTGAGCAAGCGGAAAGGGATGATTAGCATGAGAAACATTATGTGATGATTGATTTCAATTAAGTTGTGTAACTTGATTAAAATTTGCAGTTGTTTGTACTGAGGTGCTACCTCATAATCCGAAGGTTATCATCAAGAAATACGGGAAAGATGTAAATATTAAAAATTTGTATAATGAAAGTGTAAGATATATGTTAAAAATTGACGTTTAAATGCAGGCATTAATCAAATTCGGAGACTACAATTTAGAGAAAATTGCTCAAGCTTGTCGAGACATCCACAAACCTGAGAAACCAATTCAGCAGGTATCGTTATACTTTTGCTATTATTTAGCACAACGATTTTCTTATTTAATAAAATATGAAATATTATGAAGATAATTGTTATCTGTGATGCGAAAAAATTTACATTTAAACAAATGACGTCTCCTGGGGGTAAGCACTCTAATCCTAGGATTTAATTCTTAGATTCTTGACATCATGATTATTAATTTGAGTTTATTAACTGTTTAAAAAATTTAGCCACTGAATTGGCTTTGGATCAGCTCAAAAGGATTGAACCTAATTATCCAGACGATGTGAAACTCATTTGCGTTGTAAACGGTACTACTTATAAATACTTTTTTTTTTTTTTTTTTACTTGTGACTGTTTTACAATAAATATATTTTTAAATGTTTTAGCCCCAAAGGTTGCAAAGCTGGCCTACAAGATTGTAAAACCGTTTGTCAATGAAAAAACGATAAAAAATATCAAGTTGTTTCCCAAGTGTAATGCTAAGGTTAAAAATTTCCTGCTCCAATACATCGATATTAATGAACTTCCACAAAAGTACGGAGGCAACAAAAAAATTGGCGGAGTAAGTTCGAAATTTTTATTATGAAGCGTTACATCATAAAGGATAATGCATATCAAGAATGAAAAGTAATTTAATAATTTATACATAGTCTGCGGATCCAAATTTGCTGAATGATGATGAAGATATTAGTGGAAACCCTGATGACTTGGAAGAACACGAAGACATGATCGAAGTCAAGGTATGATAATATTTGTACTTTGCAAGTTTCTTATTTGGAATTGATCATGGAAATAATTTATATTGTAGGTACCTTCGGGTAAAAAAATCAAGTTGGAATATCAAGTGGACGTAGCAAAAACCCAGATTTGGTAAATTAGTAAATGATAAACTGTATGCATCCCTACTACTCTATGACCATTTTAATAACAAAACTCTTCATTTCAAGCTGGAGTTTTCAGACGGATGACCGTGATATTGGATTTTCGGTATATTTGGGAGAAAAAGAGGAAATTATTGTTCCTTACGAAAAGTTCCAATCGCTTGCTCTGCAAAATAACTCCATCACTTGTGAGAAAACTGGAAAATACACGTTGTGTTTCAACAATAAGGAAAATCGGTTCAGATCTGTCTCCTTGAATTACATTGTGTCCGTCTTCCCACCAGGAACTGATGATGACTAAACACACACACTCCACTCCATTAACAACAATTTTATTCGTTTCAAAATTATTTTACATCATTATTATTTCTATGAGCTAACACTTTATTCTAATCAATTCCAAACTCTAAAACATGCTGCATGTTGAATTACCAGACATTCTATGAGCTACGTACTTTATACTTGAATTCTATTTCAATCTTTAACACCAGTTGCAAGTTTTAATAAACTGTTGCATAATCGGATTAATTATCGGAACAACATTTGATCAACGTCGCTTAACAAGTGTCAGGTTCACAGGATCATACATGATTAAAAATAAAATGCCCGGTTTATATTTAATTTCTGTCTCGGGAGAAAGTTCAACCCGAAAATGTTTAAGAAAATGGACCATGCAAAATTTCATAGCTTCGTATGCATAGCGCATGCCTACACAATTTCTTGGTCCAAGTCCAAATGTTAGGAAAGCATATGAATTCAACTTTAACTTATTTTCTGGCATGAAGCGATCTGGTTGGAAATTATCAGGGTCTGAGTACACTTGGGGATTTCTGTTAACAGACCAGGCGGGGGTCATTACTAACGTGCCTTTGGTAATTTTTAGACCATTATTTTTCCAATCTTTAGTGCACATTCTTTCTGGTCTAATGAATGGTGGGTAGAGACGCAAAGTTTCGGTCAGACATGCCAACAGATAAGGACACTCACTTAGCTTCTCAAAGATGATTTCACCATCATGATTTTCCATAAAATTGTCAATTTCTTGAATAAGTTTTTCCTGGATTTCCGGATGCTTTGAAATATTGTATAACAAAAAAGTCATGGTCGTGCACATTGCATCGTATCCTGCAAGCACGAAATTGATCGCTTGAGCCATTACCGCAGTTTCTGCAATTTTCAATTTCTTATACTCGGGCGACGAGAGTTTGTCATACATTTCATTTAAGACGTCGATGAAGTCGTTATGTTTATTGCCACTTTCTTTTCGAGCTTCCATAACACCACGGATAATGGCTACAATCCTTGTTGCAGAATCACTTCCAAGCGTAGGTGCGAATCGTGTCAGCCAAGGAAAAACCACTAACGGATAAATATGTATGTAGTTATCAAAAATATGCAAGATAAATACGTAGTATAAACGACTAATAAAGCACGTTATATAACGAACGTAATATGTGGTGAAGAAAACTCACTTGACAGCGTGTACATTAATCCGAAGTCAGCGTCTGTTCCTTGTAAATCTTTAAACAAACGTACGAAAAGGTTGTCGGGGTCGAGAGGATCGCCAATCTTTATTCCGAAGGCTGATCGACAAATCATATCCATCACGAGTCCATCAAAAAGTCTATTTTACCACAAATACATATGAATAATACCTTGTAGATGTATGTATATGTATATATAATTTGTGTTTTACTGTCGCATATCCATCGAATAAGCGCCATCTCTACCCTTGGAATCCACGATTTGTGTCAATTGTTTGAAAAACTCCTCATTTACAGTTTTAAACGATGTACTCATCATTTTCAGTTTCCCAGTAGTAAATATAGGACTCATGGAACCTCGAATTTCTCTCCATTTATCAACTTTAGAGGTAGTAAAAATAGTTGCATGAATACCAACAGTTGAATTTATTTCTTGTGATTTTAACAGTCCTACTGCTACTGAGTAAAATCAACTTTGACCACATAATTACCTGGCAAAAAATCCAAGAAGTCGTTAACAAGTGGATCACCCAAATCAATTTGTCTACGATCTTGAAAATGGTCAAAATCTTTTACAAAAATCAGACGAATAAGTTCGGGATCGCACACATAAATAGTAGGAGATCTTCCCTCGTAAACCTGCAAATCGTTTATCATAAATATGCATACATATCAACACTTAAATTATAAGCTGCTTAACATGATTAATTGACATGCATCAGAAAATCTTATACTTATTTACCCCATAAACCGAGCCATATTTTTTATAACGTGCTATATCTTCAAGGTGTTGAATTTTTTCATGCAGATCAGGTGCACTGCCGAGGAAAAAAGACGGTTTCACGAAGGGGATATTGAGCGCCTCTAGAGTTCCATAATTCCATCTCGCATAAATTACGAGTCCAAAAAATGTTGCTAGTAAACTTGAAATAAATAGGATGACAAGTGTTTCCAGAAACATGTTGATGGCACGCAAAGTGAGCCCGACACTACTGACTAATAAGCCGTGAAAGCATATATGTAATCAGCAATACAAAGTATTTATTCACAAGAGAGACGCTTTGAAGTAAAATGAAATTTGGTGATTAGATTATAAGAATTTACACAGCAAAATTAATTAATCAGTAGGCATCATCTTTGTGATTTTTATTGCCGCCTTGATATCAATTACGACAAGCACAATAATTTGCTAACTAAACAACCTAATGATGACATCACATACGTACATATTACATATTTATAACTACTGACAAGGGAACATACCGAGGTGTCCAACGAGTTGAGGGTCGACACCTATACCAAAATGACCACAATACATGACTTGTTAAACAAACTGAAGGAATTTCCGTGTAAAATTCACTTTTCGTCAAGTTGTGACGATATTTGTGACGAGCGCATGACCATCGGGTTGCCAGCGGGAGATGTCGGCCGCTGAACGATCAGGTCGAACACACAGAAGCGTCGTCGTCTTCACGTCGTCTTTAGAGATTTCAAATTTGTATCAAATTTTGAAAACCATTTGAAATTTTGAAAACCACTTGAAATTTTGAAAAAAATTGAAATTTCTTAAAAATTTCAAAATTTTCTCAAAATTTCAAAATTTTCTCAAATTTTCAAAATTTTCTCAAAATTTTCAAAATTTTCTCAAAATTTCAAAATTTTCTCAAAATTTTTTCAAAATTGTCTCAAATTTTTTTCAAAATTTCAAGATGTTTTCAAAATTTGAAAGAATTTGAAATCTCTGAAGACGACGACGCTTCTCTTCGACCTGATCGTTCAGCGGCCGACATCTCCCGCTGGCAACCCGATGGTCATGCGCTCGTCACAAATATCGTCACAACTTGACGAAAAGTGAATTTTACACGGAAATTCCTTCAGTTTGTTTAATAAGTCATGTATTGTGGTCATTTTGGTATAGGTGTCGACCCTTAACTCGTTGGACACCTCGGTATGTTCCCTTGTGAGACTTCTATCAAATACGTAATACTTTTACCCTAACAGCTTTATTATCTAACACAGGTAGACGTGATGGGAGTAAAAATAATGTTTGCAACACGTTTCAATACTTTCAAACAACACGAACTATATAACAATACAGAATCAAATAAACATTTACATTAATAAAATATTAAAATGTCTGTTTGTTGCACCTTAAGGCACATGAAGATTCCTTTAATTGAGAATAATCGTCATAAAATTAAAGGTTATCACAATTTTTGGGGCTCAGAGACTGAAATCCGTACTTAATTATTACTAAGCCCCAGTATTTAATTATCCAAGGACACAAACAGTAAGTATGAAATGAAAGAGTACGGTCTGCTGGTTTCTACTTCCACTTATTTTCGTTATGTATTACATAGATTAAAATTATGTATGGTAATTTTTCTTTCTAGCTCTGATAAGATAAATTATTGTCGCAATGACAATGATGAGCAGACCCAACGCAACCCCACCCCACGCTCCATAGTTGGAATACGTTTGTGGGGCAATTAGCTTTGCTTTAAGCCGACCTCTCCCATCTTCTGACATCATTGCGCTCTCATCGACCCAAACCAAAGGGAATAACATTGAAGGAACCTTCTTAAATTGTTTAATAAATTTAAATGGTCGAAGTTCCATGTTCACTTGAATTCTCTTGGCTGCTTTCAAAAGCAAACCGGAAGTCTGGAAAAATGAATTATGAAAGCGGCATTATTTTTTACCACTTTTTGTCCCAGATTTAATGGCGTAAACGATAAGTAGCAAAATTATTGCTGGGTACTTACAGGTTCCAATTCGATAAATGTTTCATGAAGAGATCTATCTGGATGTAGGCCTTCGGTTTTATTGAGATACTCGGACGATCCGTCCAAAAAATGTGGCAGGGACACCAACAGTGGGGTTTCTGAGTAGTCAAATGTTTATAATTTATAGAATTTGTGTAGAAATAAAATATGCAAATAGAAGATTCAGTAACAATGTGCACGTACCTTTTCGACATGCGTTAATTTGATATGCACCCTGTTTTGGGCAATTTTCAAATCGTGACCCTGGCTGCGTGCAATAACACATGTTATCCCGATTGAAAACTGGGTCTTCCAATACTTCCGGATCAACAATAAATTTGTAGCTAGGGACCCCACCCACTTCCGACTCTTTCTCATAAATCAAACGAAGAGACCTACACAAGTCTGAACTAAACATGTTCAATTTGCGGTCAGTAGTCACAAACGGAGGAAATATAGCCTGTGAAATGAAATGAAATGTCACTCTCTCAGTATTTTAAACTTGAAATTTAAATTTTGCTTCGTTTAAAAATCTCACCCCATCCGTTCCACTGATTTTCTTGCAGCTATCCGGTTCCCACCAAGGCATTTCCGGTGACCCATTCCAACTCGCTATGACCCCAAATTTGGATGTGTCTTTTATTCCAGAATATACTTCGAATACTCCTTGATCCGACCCATTTTTCTAATGCAAGAAATTATTCTGGTAATGATTTTTTAAGCAGTGGTAATATTCTCACAGAGCTACGCTTACGCCATAGTATAATCCGAAGGTGTCATTGGGCAATAATTTGTAGCCAATAAATTTGGCAAAATCTTCCATAAAGTCCACATAATATCCTTTGAATAACATTTCATCAATAGTTTTTTGTACAAATACTTGCTCATCCGCCAAGAATTCTAGCATCATAGATCGTGAAAACGCAGATTGTTTAGCAGCTCGATGCACCATGCCCAGAAATGGAATATTGATCACAGTTATGACATCCTGGAGTGACCCAGTAGATAATTCAGGCTGATAAAAATAGGTCAATGTTTGCCTATACGAAATTGTATCATTCCTCTTGTGGATTTTAATATCAACTTTCTGCCTCTTCTGCCTGTAACCAAACAAGATAAGGATAAGTTAAACTTTACATATTTACTCTAAGGATAAGCACAACAACATTATGACATTCTCGTTCAGCTCATGACAATTATGCATGATTTTGTTGATTATTAAGCAGAATATTATTAACACAATGTTTAATACTGACCTGAAGGTAAAAGGGCCAACTTCCTGGAGAATTGCCTTCTCCCCAATGAGTACTTGCTTCGGATTCGTTACATTGAAGAGATGAAATTTGACAAAGATTGGGACTGGAACATCCCTCCACCTATTGAAAGTTTCAGATCCATTGACTAGTCTCACTTGCTGAAAAAAGTGGAAACAACGTGATAAGTATTTATTTCAGGAACGGATAGGTATTGATGCCACATTGCCCTTTACTAAGAGTTCATTGGTACGAATTATTATCATGGAGGGCTAACGTTGAACTCGAAATTACGAAATAACTCATTTTACATTGTAATTTAAGACAATTTGATCCAGATCGATTTTTCATGTTTTTTCTACACTCAGTCTCACGGTGTTTGGTACCAGTAAATTCTCAGCATTATAATAACTAATTCATATCATATTACATATATATACTCAAATTTAATATTTGTCGTGCATATGCCACATTCAAACATTGTATTTTCTTATTAACACCACTGCATGTCATGACTTCTGCTAACTAACCTCATTAAAGTTACAACAGACAAACCGAGCCTCGATTACCGAGGTCAACCTTAAGAATGTATTAACACTAAATGTCTAAACATTTAGACATTTGGTAAAGTGTAACTGTCTCAAAGTATGTACTTAAACATCACAAATCTTAATTCTTCTTATTGTACCCAATGTTGTAAGATAACCAAAATTTTGTTGTTTTCCACTGAACAATGTATAAACTACATAAACTAACTATTTGGTGAAAGTTTTAACTATTTGTAGTACATGTATACATAACATAATTTTGTATGTATAAGATGAACTCCTCCACAATTTAATTTAGGGAAAATATCATGTAGTCTTAATCTATGTAAATAGTACTATCAAATGAATTATTTCCGTAATATAATCTCGTCATATCCCTTATATAAGGGATATACCCTCTTTTATTATGTGCATACACATATAAATATAATAAAATCAGACCAATTTTAAATAACATGAAGGAGCCGTTTAACAGAAGGGTGAAATATATAAATATGTATGTATCGGTTGCAATTCAATAAGCATATACCGGATGCAACATGCTGGGCGTTATTAAAATATTTTTGGAGTTGATTTTGCATTTTTATACGACAAATATATGAATTTGAGAATGCATACATACTTTTCATAGCATGATGTGTATGTATCAAAGTATGGTCTGGAAAGGTCTAGGAGATTCATGGCTGAAATCGACACTAATGTGTCGTGGGAAAATATAATCCCATTTGCATAAATGCATAGCTCAATTGTCACCGACCAAGGTTTTATGTCTTCAAAGGAATTCACGTCTTTTACACAGCGCCTGGGCTTCCCACCCATCAATGCATACATGTGAAAAGTGGCAAAAAATGTACAACTGCATTATTCGCAAATTTTCCAGCCAAGGCGCAGAATGACTTTACTATTGCTGGTCAGCATAAAAGTATTTAGATTACTAAGGAGGGGAGGTTGTGTACTATCAACTCCCGGATCTCGATGTGCTTTGGATATGTTGTAGTGTCCCATCAATGTACAGCAACCCTGAAGTGGTTTGGCCACATTTGCACCCGCCACACCCACTCAAAGGTGCCCAAAAATCGCTTTCACTCCAGCTTTCACTCATTCAAAACCACGCCAAAAATCCAATTTTACTCCGATTTTCAAATTTCTTTAGCCATTATACTCCCAGATAGTTGTCCTCTTATTTCCAACGTCAAACTTAACTTTGATGATGAATACTTCGCAGCCATAATTTGGTTTGTTGATTACTACAACAATGCTCATTCAGAATTTTAAATTTTAAAAATACTACAAATTTCAAAAAGTTGAGTTTGATGTTGGAAATAAGGCAAAAACTATCTGGGAGTATAATGGTGAAAGACATTTGAAAATCGGAGTAAAATTGGATTTTTGGCGTGGTTTTGAATGAGTGAAAGCTAGAGTGAAAGCGATTTTTGGGCACCTTTGAGTGGGTGTGGCGGGCGCAAATGTGGCCATGGAATCAAACCACTTCAGGGTTGCTGTATATTGATGGGACACTACAACATATCCAAAGCACATCGAGATCCGGGAGTTGATAGTACACAACCTCCCCTCCTAAGAAGAGGATGACATGCCAAAATGAAGCATGCATAAATATAAACTATTGCGATTGTGCTTGTAAAGGATAAATCTATTAGCTCATGATGATCAACAAATTTACAACCTGATGTAATGCATGGTAAACATTTCAATTAATTTCAAACAAGCAAAGTTCAATTAATAACAAACAATTAACCTGATGCTTGCATTAATCGCATTAAATCTACCCACACAAGTTCTATGCTAAAAAGATTAAGTTTAAGTTTTTGCATTTGTGTGCTCAAGTCATTTACATCATGAATTTGTTTTCGCATTTCCATGTCGTAAAATGACTCAAGGTCTAATTCTTTTCTGGTGGACCAGCCTGTCCATGGCTGGCTGAACTTTGATTTACGTACATTTGATCATTCATGTAAGCGGAATTACTCAAAGAACAAATGCAAAAATAAATAAAAATCGCTATGTCTTACAATAAAATGAAGTAAAAAAATATATATGGCATCAAACTTACCTCTGCAATCTTATTGTTAATTACTTTAGGAACAATAATCCATCCCACCACTGCAGCACCGATTAAAATAGCAAATCCCAGAGCCAAAACACACGATGGCAATTTCTGCATTTTTAAATATCTTTATATTTTTCTCCTAAATAACTGAGTCAGGTTTGTCGCACTCCAGTGACTTGAAAGCCTTGAACGTATGTAGTAGACAAGGATAACAAACTGGTAACACTATTTGACCACCAACACGGTTTGGTGTGGCGTGATCTTAAAATTCCAACAATCTACAATAGGAATGTATCTTTCTTGTTGCAAGCACTTCTACCTCCTGCAAGGAAAGTGCGTCTGATGACCCACGATGGAAGATGGTCCGATCTCAGTCAGTCAGAGTACACGTACTGCGTTGAGGTTTGAGACTAGTTGGAACAGTTGGCAAAGTTTATGTATTTACAAGCATTGTGATGGACACTACAAAAACCGAAACCTATGTATGTGTAGTACACACACGACTTGGGATTAGTAAAATACGATGAATGGATGATGATGGTCTGTGTGAAGACGGAAGGGTTGAACGAGTTGCTTTTAATGAAAGACTATTAAAAACAGGCAAGAAAGGCAGCAGAAACAGATAGTTCGTGGAGGGATTATTTTTCCTGGCAAGAACTGATGAAGATCTGCTATGTCTGGCTGGAGAACCTTTTTTTGCTACACAAGTACGAGTTAAATGAACAAAAGTGTTTTTAAAGACACGCTGGAACTGGTTATTAAATTTCTGTCTTATACCAGTGACCGACGGTCACCATTAATTTAACAAATACTAATCTTTGCTGAACTCGCTCGAACTCAAGTTAAATGAACCAAAACATTTAGTTTGCTTAAGATTAGCGTGATACCGATGATGATAAAAAATATGGTATCAGGGAATGGTTAACGTTTACTTTTTGGGTGTTGTTGTAACACCAGTTGTTCAGACAGGGACTCTTTTGACAAGGATCTGTTTGGTATAAAGACCTGTAAAAACCATTGCATTGTATTATGCATTATTGGATGTTGGGGGTTGTAGTTCTTTCGCATTTTTCCAGGTAGTGACAACATAAGGAGTATGCATATTGGATCATGCATTCGTTGAATATGTTGTTGATATCAGCCAGAATGCTACATGTCTGGTCTAACAGCTAAATCGCCTCAAGTGATGCGACGACGAATCTTACACTTTACACACTATAGCACGTAGTTTCTAGCTCGATATAAAGGAGTCTCATTATGAGATGCATTGTTTAAGATTTTCGTAGAAAAGGAAAATCCGTATACAAGATTTTAATAGTTTTAAGTAACATCTCTTTATAATAGATGAATTAGAATTTAACAATAAAGTCAGAGGTTTTCCTTCATGTGTAGGTATATGGCATAATGGGAAAACCATCGTACGATGCTTGCTTATTGTTTAATGAAATGACGCGACTAGTCCAATGCGTGTGGGTAACTATTTATTTTCATGTAGCACGTGGATGATGGGGAAATTAAAAGCACAATACCGCTTAATAATTTTTATGGTGTAAAAGATGCTGGAAAACTCATAGCATAACATAAAATTACACGCGAGTATCCAAAATATGGCAAAATAAATCACATCAAATAAATGACTGACGACACACAATTAAATGCAAAAAATTGACAAGCTGTGCTGGGATAACTTATCGGTTCATTCCAATTTCTTTCGTTTTTCTTTTTTTGAGGCACAGTTCTCTACAATTCTGTTGAAACTGTAGAGATATCCCAAACTGACTAGGCGAATAATCCCACTGAACATTGTCTGTGATGAAAAGTAATTAAAAAAATAGTCAAAATAAGATTCTTTGGAATAGTAATTGTTATAAATAATTATTAAAAAACACCTGCAACAAAAGTCCAAACACTGAAGACATTGGTGACATTCCAGCATTCAACATAGTACTTAAATTTCCATCCATTCCAGTAGTCGTGAAGAAATCTCCAGCCTGCAATAATTGTTGACAATGCCAGAAGTAAAAAAAATCAAATTTTTATCCATGAATGATGAACAAAAGTTATCCTCATATACATGTATATATTTTAAAATAAGTAAAATAAGGTTGGCACACTTACCAAGGTATCTCGCAAAATATCTTCAGCAACTTTAGCTGGTGGGAATACGCCTGAAGATGCACTGATTAGTTTTGTCTCTTCCGGTTTGACTTTGTTCTCTTCCTCAAAACATGGAGTGTCTGTATCAGGTGGACAGGACACTGTCACCGAGATCCCATAAGGTTTAACTTCCATTTGTAGAGCTTCACAGAAACCTCTAATTGCAAATTTTGAGGCAGAATATGCCGTGTACCCATACAATCCCACCAATCCTCCCACTGATGAAACACAAACAATTCTTCCTTTCCGCCGAGACTTCATTGATGATAAAACACTTCTAACGGCATACGCCGTTCCCAAGTAATTAATATCCATCATACCCTGTGTATTTAAATTGTCAGTTATACGATTACAAATATCTAATAAAACTGGTATTCAACCAGTGTGGCAATAGCTACGTTATCGCTATTCGATGTGTCATATATATGATATATAATATATCACCTTGATATGGTGCAAAGGGATATCCTCCAGCTTTGATGGGAAAGCGTAGCCAGCACAATTGATAAGTATGTCAATTGGTCCGACTTCAACTTCACACCGACGAAACACACTCTCAATTTCTTCGTAGTTTGTAACATCCGCTGTTTAAATAATCAAATATTTTATATTATCGTCATTTCCGGCGAGTATTAGTATCTGCGCATGCAAGAAAATATATTTGAGTGCAGACAAATTCAAAGATACCTTTGAAGAAATTAATATTCTGTGAGGAGGATTTAACTCGGCTGCGAATTTCCTTACAAGCCTCTTCTAATTTTTGAACATCTCTCGCTAAAATTGTGACGTGTGCTCCACGCTCTGCTGACTTGATTCCCAGTTCTTTCCCAATTCCACTGGATCCACCCGTAATCTAGAAAAAATGTTGGAACTATGTATAATGGAGGAGACACTAATTTTGCGATTAATGGTATTATATAGTATTTATAATTTATACTGACCACAACATGTTCTCCGACCAGGGATGCTTTTCCACGTTGCATTCGTTTTATCCAGTCTATAATTGCAACTCCAAGTATGAAAATAACGATTCCCACACTAAGCGAACAACAGCAGGCACAGTCCTCGCCCATTTTTAATAATTATTAATATTTATAATTATCCAGAATGTCTACCGATTAATGTAATCTAAAATCTTTGCTACAAAAGTTTCGATAGTCGACAAGACCAATAACCATTAAAAAACACTACTAATGATACAAAAATATTTAGTTAATTGAACTGATGTATTTATTAGAAAGGTACTGATAATACAACGCGATTATTAATTTAATTGCCTGTCACCAAATACTTTGAGTGAATCGGCAGAATGATGATGCTGATTCCCGGCCTGGAAACTCCATGTATTTACTGGATCTCATAATTTTAGGCTTCAGATTTCAGACTACTTACATTTAGCTTACATTTTATGATGCTTTTTTCCTTAAAATTTAAAATTAAATGCTAAAGTAGTTAAGATAAATCTCCACTTTGACTCGTAGCAGTAGACTCCTCAGTTAAATATGCTGCCTGCTGAATTTCCTTTATTTTCTTCATCTGCTCTTTGTATAAGGACTTCCTAGAAACATTAAAAGGTGTCTGTATATCTATGAAAACCGGAACCAATCCTTCGGATTAAATTTGAATTTTCCACGAAGGCTTACAATTCTAAACAAGCAACCTCGAATTCCGGAATTACATAATCTCTCTCATCACCTTTGAAAGAGTTATCTCGCAAATATTGTAAGGAGAGAAAGTCTGGAATAGTCCCTGCGTATCAAATACAATGCAAGAGTTACAATTTTAGTTAGTCTACAATTTGTGGTTGGAAATCATACCTTTGGACAAATACTCCTTTCTCTTTGCAATTAAATCATAGTTGGTATTATCCGTGAGAAATTTGTAAATTTCTTCCATTACAAACAATTTTTTACCCCTGGTCACGGCTTCTTTGATCCCATCCTGAGTTTCCAAATCCACTCCAGAGGAGAATGGATGGCAACGAATTACTTTGCGTAGATAAGATTGACGTACTGTTAAAAGCCGATCAAGTGTTAAACTTTGTGCCTAATTAAGTAGTAAACTTTAAACTACTTACAAAGGTTGACATCATCTAACGAGTTTAGTTGATATGTCTCAATGCTTTTTACCCCCACAATAGTTAAAAGATCGTTGGTGCCAAAGAGTTGAACTAATTGAAATCGTGGGTCGGCCATATAATAAGAAATATAAGGTCTGTGATATTTATTATCAGCTTTGCTTATTTAATAATGATGAAAACATGAATTTCTTAAGCGACACAAGCTTCCGTACAGATGATATGCTATTTTTAGATCTATGTATAACGCAGTCATTCAAATAGGTATACAGATATTTCAGTGTTCAGTGATACGTTTCCCATGATTCTTGTGATCACATAACAATTCCTGATAGCGTCCTAAATCTTGGTTTATAATTTATATAGAATCCTAAACTACAAAAAAATGCATAATGTGTGTGATTTCTTATTTTATAACGGGATTTATTTTATCAAATGTGCATGCTCAGATATCATGATACTTAATTCGGAATAGGGTATTATCACAAAAATATCAAATCAGGCAATTGCTTTATCTACTTTAATGGTGAAGTTGTTGTTTTGACTTTGCCTAATTCCTGGCCTCTAACTGTCGCAGCTTCTATTGCGTTGATAACTGTGGAGCGAATTCCTCCACGTTCCAATTCCGAAATTCCAGCTATCGTGGTTCCACCGGGAGAACATACCATATCCTTCAAGAGTCCAGGGTGCATTTTCTTTTTCAAATACAGTTCTCCAGCACCTTTCATGACTTGACCTGCAATTTCTAAACTTATCGAACGAGGAATACCCATTTTCACTGCTCCGTCAGAAAGTGCTTCCATAATTGGAAACATCTACATACGTAAAAAGACATGATACATAGGTGTACAAATTCCTGCATCAACTAAATAACCAGAAATACTTACAAATCCTATTCCAGAGCCGAAAAATCCACAATAGGCATTTATTTGGTGCTCTTCAACCTTATAGACTAGTCCTATGGGGGTGAACATGTTATTAATGAATTGTTCGTCACCCTCCTTAACCTCGGCACTGCACGCAAAAACTGCGAGGAACAAATAATTATGAGATATAAATAATTGCGAGATAATATATGCATGAGACTATTTCAAACAATTTAAGACCGATACCTGCAACACCACAAGAAACCTGGAGCCCAATATTCGGCATAATTCGAAGAGTTCTGACAGGAGCCTCAACGCCCATGACAGACTTAACAACGCTCGAGAAATGGTCCAAGTTTATTCCTGCCATTATCGAAATATGCAGCGTGTCACGCTTTAGAGCCTCCCTATTTACATGTTTTATAATTCCATCTACAGCTACGGGGAAGACTTGCGGTTTGACTGCCCAAATTATAATGGTCGAATTTTCTACGACTTCCTCTGAAAATTGAATTTAGTCGTAAATTTATTATATATATTTACGCGTCTTAATATAAATACATATACGCCTCTAAGAATTTTGTACATTACCATTTTTCTGAGTTACTCGACACCCTCGTTTTTTCCAAATGTCCAAATTTGTTGTAGTATTTGCGCTGACAATTACACGGTTTGGATTAACTAACCCTGAAAAAGACCAACACATAATGATAACAAGTATATATATTCAAGTATAAGCTATGAATTCGTTTGTGCAAATACCTTTGTCTATTAATGGAAACATTATTGATTGGGCCATACATCCGGCACCAATCCAGCCAAGAATGTCATTTGGAGAGAGAATTTCCATTGTTCAATCAGCCAACTATTATAACTCGATGAGCAGAAAGTTATAGGGTGAAAGTGTTCAATGTGTCCAATAAATGTGTGTAAATTGCAATGCGACTATGGTGGTGCCGTTGGTCACCCGTATTACACGTCACAGACTTTTAAATAATGGAAAAGTTACTGTTCGGTTGTTTATGGAGAAGGACGAAATGTCACCGATTGTAGGTATAAGGTTTTACCCGCTTGTGTACTCGGAAATTTGAGATCGTATTCGGAATTTGGAAAAATTGTTTGTTCGGGTTCGTCTTTCAGTTGATATACTCCTTGAGGTTTCAGATTAGGTTTTAATAAAGAATTGCTAACAGGAGGACTACAGATAAAATTTATTATTTTTATTTAGAAATTCTTTTAAACTTCAACTCATGTTTTATTATAGCATTCCAATTTGAAGCGCTCAACAATGATGTCATATCATGGCAGGTCTTACTGCAAAAAAATATGCATGAAATTTGCAGGTCATTTGCATCTGGTAGTACTGGATGGTGGTCGTTATTATTCTGTGGTCCATGTCGATGTCCCCGGGGAACGCCAACGACAACTAACCAAGTCTCGGTAAATATAGGTTTCATGCATGAGAAACAGTGGGCAACAGCACTTTGTTCTAATATGCTCTTCAAATTCAATGGCAGGATTGGTGGTGGGTGTGAGGAAGAGATATTTTGATCCAAATTCGAAATTGATCCATCAATTTCAATTGCAGATGAGTGTGGTGACGAAGAAGGATCATAAAGTGATTGTGAAGCGGATGAGGAGGAGGACATGTCTTTGACACATGATGAATATTTAAGACGTGGTTGAACTATTTGCGTTTGTCGGCGGCTGAACTGATGTGACGACATTGTTCTTGTCTGAAGATTCTCAGTGTGCACGACTCGAAGACACTGTTCCAACATGGTTGGGGGCTGGTCTGCGGTTGCGGTGTGGATTTGCAAGACGTCCTCATCAAAACACAAAGTGAGCTCCTTCCAATGCCGAAGGACTAATTTTATTCCATGATGAGAGGTGATATTAAACTTTGGATTAAGGGATAAAGTATTATTATTGGTGCCAAGACGGTCTTCTTCCTGCTGAAGGATAGGATCGGCTGGAAGGTTGTTTTTCACTAGAAATCCACACCTATTTAATTAATAATAAGATGACAATACATTTTGCATATGTTGAACTCAAGAATTGTTTAAGGAAAATCATGATTTACGATAAAATTAGTATGTATCTATTTTACCAGTGACTGTCCAAATCAGATCCTAGTAATTGAATCATCCAGTATGGAATATAATTCAGATTTGGATTGCTGTCGAATAGGAACCTAAAATCACTACTGAAGGGTGACCGTTGTTGTTCTCGACTGCCATGAAGGGCTTCATTTCTTGGAATAACATTTCCATCGGTTTGTTTGCCATGTAACAAATAGTAAAATGGCTTTGTTGGTAAATATAAAAGATTGCATTTACATGCAGAAACATAACGCAAATTATGCAACGTTGTAATGCAGCGAGGTAAATGTAGTATCGGATTTCCATCAATGCCAAATTCTTCCAATGCTTCTAATCCTTGAAACATTTGAGAAGGAAGGTGGGAGATCATATTTCCGGACAGTTCCAAAAATTTTAGCGATTTCAGGCGACCAAGTTCTGAAAAGTGAATAAATCAAGCAGGACTGTATTTGTTGTGTTTCTATTTAAAGTGTACCTTAAAATCATCAGATGCATAAACAACTTTATTAGTAATAACTCATACGATCGAATAAAATCATTTAGAAAACTTGAAGCATGTAGAATTTCAAAATTTCTGATTAAATTACTTTGCATTGAAAACTTTTGTGAAATTAGAGCCGTCAACAGTAATCACTTTTAAGATTTGATTTGATACGTATGTACATATGTAAATACGTCATTAGAAGCATGGGAAATGAGTAAATTGAAAGAAATTGGAATCGCACAAGTGCATACCATTTGGAAGACAAGTTAGACGATTTTGAGTTAACACGAGTTGCTCCAGTTTCGACAGACTTGCAACACTCGATGGAATGAATTGAAGCAAATTTTGGCTCAAATCAACAACCTTTAGACTGTTGCACAGTTTCCCAATTTCGGATATTTCGGTTATTTGGTTTCCAATCAGATAAAGATTTGTTAGGTTTACCAGCTTTCCAATATCCGTCGGCTGTAAGTCAAAGATGAAAAAGAAAATCGCTTTATCTTTCCTACTGGAAATAATTTAATTTGCTTGATGTAACTAGAAAATCATCTTCTTAGTCAATCTGGAATGATTTTTTCGTTGTCAATTTTCGCAATTTCTCATGTGAAATCCAGGCCAATAATAATCTGGCATAGTAAATACATACTGTATTTGTGCGTATGTATTTATCTATACCATTACTTAAGTACACTTCTCGCAGATACTAAATACAAAAGCCTAAAGTCTTACCAAAGAAGTTAGAGAGTTCCTCTTCAAGTAAATTTCCTTAATGTGAGTCCCATGTTCCAGAAGGGAATTTGGAATATCCTTGAGATTTCGATAATTCCAATGCAGGATCATTCTGCTTTTTATGTCACTTATAAATTCAGTGTCCAATTGGTTTGCATTCTCATCTTTGTATGACGAATAAATACACATATTTAAATATCATACACCAAATTAAACAGCTGAAAATTACCATAGGTTAGCCTGTTTATTGTTTGTTATGCATTTAGTCAGACCAGATTAAACAAGTGAAGGAAGATCTCACGCAGTATGAGATCTTGTTGTTGCCTAAAAATGTTTCTACACATGCAATGTAAAAAATGCCATATACATAAATGCTTACAACTTACCAAAGGCTTGAGATTTTTGCTTACACGATGTCTGCATAATAATTATTATACGTATTAATTATTTTCTTAACTACTAATTTTCCTTAGGCTAACAAAGCCGTATTGAACTTGAATGTATTTACGTATATTTGCGAAAAAGAATGGTATTGTTTTATATTAAAAAAAAGCTACATGGCACAACAAATGCTCATACATATACCTTAAAAACATATGCCACAGTTCGTCTCCAAAAAGTGGTTCATGATCTAATGGGCCAACTGCCAAAATAATGGTTGTCTTTGGTTAATTTGGTTCACGTGTCAAGTAATATCATTAAGTGAAATCAATAGGGCAATGTTTCTTTTTACTCTGCATGTAGGTATACGTAACTTTCTTTAAAACTGGTACAAAAAATTCAGAGTTACTTAAAATTTTGATCAAAAAACTCTTCTCTCAAAGTGATGATGAATAGAAGACTCGAAACCCTTTTCTTGTGTTTATCACCTCCAGCAAATTGTATTACATGAAATGTTCCGGAAGTGCTTGGTAGAAAATGTGTTCTCCTTTCTGCTATCTTTTGTAAAATTTGAACATGGAAGATCCATAAGAAATTTTTTGTCCTACAAATCATGATTGAGATGAGAGAGTGCATGCAACCAAGGAATGGTGGGACTAAAGCCAATATCCGCCCAAGACATACATGTTGGATACGTACGTATGTAGTGGAGATATTGGTGTGCTATTGGTTGGATGGGATAATGCGACCAAGGGATAAATATTCTGAAACCGTGCTGGTGATGGGATGTATATTTCAATTGAGAGGAAAGTCATTTTCTCCTCCTCCCTCATCCTTCATTCGCCATCCGCTTCCCCCTTTATATCATCATCCGTTGCTCCACTTCTCTCAACTTTCTCCTCTCGCATCACAAATTCCCACTTTCACTCCTCATCTGACACCCTTTATCGAATCAACTCTTTCTTTCTTCAAAAATTGAAGGCCGTATGTCCCCACATGCCATTCATTTCACCCTGCTCTGCATTTTTAACTCGTTTCCTACTTCCACACCACAATGTGTGCATGGAGGCTGCTTGCGAATGAGGTTGGTGGGACATGCTTGATAGTTGTTGTATGTACGTATGTATATCCCCACAAAAGGACACTTTTACCCTTATGAACTTTACCCTCTTGTAATTTCACAAGGCGCAATTTTGAATGAAAATGATAAAACTTTCACATATATTCTTAGTTTTATTCGTATTCGTAAAGGGTTTTTACAAAACAGAAATATGTAACTCTACATTCATTTGCACACTCATTAGTTAGACATCCATGTTGATAACACTAATTTTCTAAAATATTTCTAAATACATATGTAGCAAGTTAAAACGCATATGAGGAATTGTTTTTATTATTTTGCTAGAATTACCTGTAGTACCATTGAATTTGTTTATTATGCATATCGATTTTGCATAAATCTTACAATAAATAAATACGTTATACTAGTAAGTACTTGTTAACAGCAGTCAATTCATACATACACATGTTTGGCTGGTTCACGCCACATGTATTTTGTTTGTTCTGCGATTTTTATAATATTTTCAGTAATTATAGAGTAACAGTAACATACACACGAGGAAATCCGCATTCAAATCATAGACAAAAGTTTTCTTGTGCTCGTTACAGTTTTTGACTGTGAGCAACCTTTTTTCAATATCGTGGTGTTATTTTTTCAGAACTGGGTTACATTACAAATAGATGATCGAATTGACATGGATTCTACACACACATTTATGTATACTACGAATTTCAAACATTTGTTCATGTGACAAAGTAGCTTATAGTTTTAATGAAAATTGAGAATATAGTTTTCGATGCCAAAGAATTACATTCAGATTCACACTTATCATTTGTATTTAACTCTAGAATTATTTGATCTCAAACCCTAAGTATTTATAATACTGAATCCTTGCAATAGTAGATCGGCCCAAGTCGTCAAAAGGTGAAGGCACTTTTATTTTGTTAACAATAATGTTGATATTTTTGTAAAATCAAATGGTTATTAAAAGACACAAACAATAAACCTTTCAACACTTGGGCCAAGAACTATGTATTTATTTACATGTACAATAACAGATTTAAATACATATATGTTTATCGTTCACAATTTCATAATACGTTTGTAATTCTTACATTTATATGTAATGGAGTAGCATGAATGAAATGGGTTTCGTACATTTATTTATGTAACACGTTATTATTTATTGAATTGCTTTACAGGATGGTCTGTTTATGGAAACACTATAATAAATATAAAGTGGATTTATATTCCTGTGGAATTAAAAGAATACGTTATCATCATCGCCAAAGTTTAGGAATTCCATATTCGCATAGATTTTGTTGAGATAAAATGTTGGAACTTGTTGGGAAAATGACTAAAAATACACTTATGTACTTCTGAGAGGGAGAAAGTTTTGCGTCACGTCAATTTCAAATCAAGTTTCATTTCGAAGGAAATACAAGTGTGCCAAAACTCCTCCTTTTCTGTATCGATTTAAGAAGAATAGCTATTTCCAAATCACGATATTAGGATCCAGTTTCTCGTTCCAAGTTTCCAATCTACAACAAAAGGGCAAATTATTAGAATCGCATTTCGCAATAGCAACGCCAATCTGGAGCCATATCACAGTTTGATGGGAGCATCGCGCGTCGTCGTCGTCGTCGTCGTATTCAGAAAATGGTGGAGAAATGTTCTTTTGTGAAGCTCAAATATTGGAATGAAATAATCTCTCAATCAGGCGAAAATGGCGTCATAAGCTCCGTCCAAGTTACTTACTGAAATCAGATTTGAACATACTTACCGAAAAGTAGGTAGGTCTGCATATATCCACCGTGTTACACGTTTGTGAGCTTAAGGTCATCTAAATAGCTCATTTAGCTCCTTATTCTTTCAAGAGACTCTTCCCTCATGTTGAGCAGGTGTAGAGAAACTATATGCAATTATACATTCCAATTATTTAGTAACACTCATGAGGGACATTTATGCATCATTTTTACCCTTACAAAACGATATGCATTGTTCTTTGGCCAAGTTGATGCAAAATATTTCTTGATCTTAATACAACCATTATTGCGACAATTTTGTGTTTAAAAGTCGTTGCTAGTTGCATTTATTCTTCTGTTCAGATCCCTCTTGACTTCCTATAAAGCAAGTCCATCTTTTCGCAATTTTCCCCAAATACAAATTTTTGCCCACATAAATATATAGCGGACCAAATCTGCGGATCCAGTTCCCCAATGAATTGCGTGGCCTGGCTTTGTTCAGAGAGAATTGAGATTTAGTAGAGTGAAAGCCGGAGCTGAAAGAATCGAAACCCAACGGAGCCATTATGTTTAGTGTGATGGAGCACTTGATAATGATTCACATCCGTCTCTCTCGGGGAGTCATTTTATTTTTATCTCGTCTAAATTCCAATTCAATGAAATTTGCAACTTCGATTCGGTTCAGTTCTTCGCTGTACTGTTTCCATCTTCAGCTTGCTCATATCACTTTTTCCCATCTCGGGCATAAACTTATTTCCAAGTTTCGCTTACAGGAATCCACTCAACAAAATTGCGCACCATGTAATTCGATTCTTTGTTGGTTTTCTAATTTTCAAGTCATTAATTAAAATGTTTAAAGTTGAAAATAGAAATGGATATTCTGGAAAATATTTGGGTAGGTTGAAACCGTTGGAATTCAGATTTGAGTTGCTGACATTGACGGGACATTCTTCTGCCAAATTTGGCATCCATTTTCCATTAGAAAAGAAAATTCTTTTATACATTTTGATGAAGTCTGTCTAATTTGAAGTTGATGGTGATTCCCATTATTTTCTCATATCTGCGAAATTGCGGCTTATTATTACACGACTCAATTCTTTGTTCAGCCTCGTTTAGGCTGTGAGCTAAGGAAACCTTATGATGACTTTTAATTTGAATATAATGGGAATTTCATATCTGATGGCCATACATGTATGTTCATATACACACGTGCAGTCTTCTAAATATGTGGTTTGATTCATCAGACCATACCTCAAAACTCATTCGGTCGATGGACATGCCTGCAGCGGATTTTTATCATTCCTGCCAACTCATTTCCATCAGATAATAGATAACATGGTGTTGGAAATGTGGTTAGTTTGGAATTTGGAATGTCTGCATGGCAGACCACAGGATACTCATTTTAGCCCTTGGCGTGAAAGCTGGATGACTATGATATCCATCCATTGGAGATCGCCTTGCATTCTCCATCGCAGAATTCAATGTGTGTCGCATTGGCAATAATATTCCTTCCCTCCCTCGGCTCGTATCATGGCTGTGCTGTCACTCTGGTCATTAATCTGACTCTGGGAATGGGTCTCTGTTTTCATCGGGGGTCCAACTTGTGAAGCAATCCATGATACACACAATGCAAATGGCATTACGAAATCCTTGGGAATTTAGCTTCCGGTCGAAGAAAGCAGTTTGGGTGCTTCAAGTGGTTTCGTTAGTTTTCTGTCCTATCGGCATGGCTGGCTGTCACACTCGGTGGAGAGGTTTGGCAGAGTGGAGAAGTACGCTGAATTACAATCCTGATGCAATTATCGATCACTATAATCTACCTTTGCTTTCACTCCCTTCACGAGGTGATGATGACAATGATAATGTCTCTAATAACAATAATCGTTGAGTTGAGCCTTCATTCAAGCACTTTTACTCTCTCTTCTCCACGCTTTCTCTCTGGCTCGCTCACTGCGACTCCGACTACAACATGTCTGCTGGGTAGGCGAGTGTGTGTGAGATGGGACGAGGTGGGATGCAAGATGAGACGCATTTTGTCTTTAATTTAGTAAAGATTTACTCCCAGGCAATTTTCTAGCATTGCCTTATCATGCCTACGTCGTAAATATGGTCATTCACTTCAGTTTTAATACTTATTTCACCTCTTTGTGTTTGCGATCGGTGACACGTGAAGAGATCAATGGAAAGACGAAAGAGGAGCTGCTACACGACGACTGAAAATTGGTTCTCATACACATTTTGGTCGGATTAATGTTTCACACTATTAGTTTTCAACACTTGCACACCTAATATTCGCACAATGACACTGAGGATATTAGAAGCTTATGACATTACCGTCATCATCAACGTCGGTTATAGTCACGACTAAAGCCGGCATAAGCTTT